ACCAATTTGATATCTGCCAACAGTAAAGAGGGAGCATAAATTGTCATTTGTTTTGCTAAAATATGGCAAAAACACAAAATGTTCTCAGTTGCACAGTTGAATGAATAATAATAACATAATAACAGTATAACATTTTTCCTCTTTTTACTATTTCATTATTACCAACTACCCCAAACCAGAGGTGTCATAGTTTTTTTTATTTTGAACCCTAAATGAGGCTTATGGGGGCAAGATGCTACTCTTGAATATGTGTGATCATAAAAGTAGAGAAACCGGGAATATGCAGAGCAATGACGTCTTGAGTGTTGTAGAATATAGATGAGTAAAACATGAATCAGTTACTCTTAAAACCACTTTTAGTGAATGGGAACGAGAAATGATGAATAAAACCTTCTGAATAGATTTTCTATCTTAAGTCTCCTTCAGTAGTGAAAGCAATTGTAGATACAGTGAAATCACAATGCCTGCTTCTGTTGTCCTTGTTCATGGTTGATGTTAATGGATATTTTACAGGGTTCTACAGACGCTTACATCTCCCTTTCTCTGATCTTACACCACAACATGTCTATATAGGCTGTCCATACATACGTCCATCAGTACTTTTGATTAGGTACAGGGTAAGAAGATGATACTAATCAAACACAAGAGCAGATATGAGTGACTTTAGGTGCTGAAGTTGAAGTCCGAAAGTGTCCACAGCAGACAGGAAGTCCCCCAGGAGAGCTTTTAATACCCTCTGTACAGAATCAAAACAAATAACACAACAATAAATGTGTTTCTTTTATTAAATATTCTATTGTAGTTGTAGATTTCAGATTTGAAATTGACATTGTGATATCTGTAATACAAAGATATTATTAAAAACAATCCCTCATGCCCTTCCACTCTAGCTTGATTCATCAGCCAGTTTCACTTCGTAGAAACCGTCTGACCTCACAGCATTAGGATTCATTCGCTCGACAGTAGGCGGGTACTTTTTAATTTAACCAATTGCTGCTATTTGGTCATGACGTATGTAATGCGCCGTTAACAGGTCTAACTGGTATATTAAGCTTTTTCCAAATCCCGTAGGAAGAAGTGCAATAACGTCTTTCCCCTTGCTAAAATTCACCAAACATTCTCTTTGTTCCGGCTTTAAATCCTCGACCTTGGGAATTGTTGCCAACACAGAATGTACGGCTCTTCGCTGACTGTCTGGTGCCCAGACTTACACTTCCGGGGTTTTTGCGAACCGTCTAGTGTATTCCGATTCCTGAACTTGTCAGTGGAGAGAAATGAAATTGAGTGGAGGCACTAGGTAGCACCAGCCTGGCTACTTCCATCCAACAACCCAACCACTAAATATGTATCATAGTTTTACGTCAGTTAAGCAGCAGTTTGTGGAAAAAAGTTGAGAATAAAAGTACAAAAATACATAGCGCTGAGTTCTAAAACAGAATACCGTTATTGTTTATTGTTTATTTTGATCCACATCAACACGGAAAACTCCATCCAAGGACAATTTAAACATTAATTTAACGATATGAAGGAGTTGTCATTTATTTTTCTTAGTCTAATCATAACTTTTGTTAAGTTTTAGCCCTTATTAACCTTATGACTACTGCGTTGTTGTGAAATTACCTCTGTGTACAGTGTGTCACATCTTGAGGTAAATTAATTTACTTCAGTCAGATAAAAATATAAAAAACAAAGGCAAGACTTATCGTAAAATCTTGTTTCGTGTTCATGTTTTAGTGAAATGAGGAGTCCAGGCTGTTTTATGCACGCAAACGTTTTTCGGAATCACCTGGAATTCCAACTAATGCCGGGCTACAGTCAAATAATTCCAGAAAAGTCCCCGCGGTAATCCAAACGACTGGATGAGTGACTCGGCCTGACCTCTAGCAGGGCTGTGAATGGGAGCCTGTCTGCGCATTGTTCACCTAAAGAGAAAGAAGTGGCGAGAGGATGAGAGCGCGCCACTAAAACCGCTGCACACAAGCCTCACCGAGCGCGGAGGGCTTTTGTGTGCTTAATGGAAAGAAGGCAGGAGAGGAGCTGGTCTTTTTGTTATAGGTCAGTGTGTGTGAGGAGGATGGAGGGAGAAGAGGGAGGGAGGGAGAGAAGGAGAGAGTGGACGATAAGAGGTGAGTGTCAGCCGTGACAAAGCAAGGTCAACGCACGGGGAATGTCTTCACTTTAAAATGGACGAGAGGAGGAGAGGGGAGAGACAGAGTGGAGAGGAGGAAGAGATGAGAGAGTGAGAGGGGACAGTGAGGGTGTTAGGAGAGAGAAGAGGGGACAGGGAGAGCGCAGGGACAAGACGGAGAGAAGAGTTAGAGAAGAGGAAGGGGAGAGATGAGATGGAAGTTACAGAGGAGGGGAAATGAGATGAGAGAGGGGAGTTAGAGAGGAGGAGAGAGGGATGAGAGGAGAGAGGAGGAGGAGAGGGAAGTTGGAGAGGTGGAAAGGAGAGAGAGATGAGAGGAGGAGGAGAGGGGAGAGAGAGGAGAGAGGGAGGAGAGGGGAGTTGGAGAGGAGGAAAGGAGAGAGGAGGATGGGGAGAGATGAGAGTTAGGAGAGGGAAGATAGAGAGGAGGAGAGGGATGAGAGGAGAGAAGAAGAGAGAAATGAGAGGAGAGATGGGAGTTAGAAAGGAGGAGAGGGGGAATGAGATAGGAGTTAGAGAGTAGAAATGGAGAGAAGAGGAGAGAGAGATAAGAGGAGAGGGGGGAGTTAGAGAGGAGAGGGTAGATGAGAGGAGAGAGGGATTAGAGGAGAGGGGAGTTGGAGAGGAGGAAAGGAGAGAGGAGGATGGGGAGAGATGAGAGGGGAGAGGGATGAGAGGAGAGAAGAAGAGAGAGATGAAAGGAGAGATGGGAGTTAGAAAGGAGGAGGGGGGGATGAGATAGGAGTTAGAGAGTAGGAAAGGAGAGAGATGAGAGGAGAGAGGGGAGTTAGAGAGGAGGTGAGGGGAAATAAGAAGAGAGAAAGATGAGAAGAGAGAGGTGAAATGAGAGGAGAGAGAGATGAAAAGAGAGAGGGGAGTTAGAGAGGAGGAGATAGGAGATGAGAGGAAGAGAGGTGAGTTAGGGGAGGAGTAGAGGGGAGATTAGATGGGAGGAGAGGGATGAGAGGAGAGAGGAGGAGAGAGATGAGAGGGGATTTGGAGAGGAGGAAAGGAGAGAGGAGGATGGTGAGGGAGATGGGAGTTAGAAAGGAGGAGAGGGGGAATGAGATAGGAGTTAGAGACTAGGAAAGGAGAGAAGAGGAGAGAGGGGAGTTAAAGAGGAGGTGAGGGGAAATGAGAGGAGAGAGAGATGAGAAGACAGAGGGGAGTAAGAGAGGAGGAGAAAGGAGAGAGATGGGCGATAGAGAGGAGGAAAAAAGAGATGAGAGGAGAGGTGAGGGGAGGAGAGAGAGATAAGATGGGAGTTAGAGACGAGGAGAGGGGAAATGAGAGGAGAGGGGAGGAGAGAGATGAGGGAAAAGAGGGGACTTAGAGAGAAGGACAGAGATAAGAAGGGAGTTAGGGGAGGAGAGAGTAAATGAGATGGGAGTTGGAGAAGAGGACAGTTAGAGGAGAGGAGAGAGAGATGAGAGGAGAAAGGAGAGTTAGAGGAAGAGAGAGAGAAGAGTGGATTAAGGAGGAGCTGTAGAAGAGCAGAGGAGAGAGTCAGAACAGGTTTGGAACTATTTGACTGAGGCACAAGTAGAAATGAAAAGGTAGGCTACACGTTTATGTCGTGTGTTTAAAAGTGTCATTATTTGCTAAATGTACACGTTTAAGTTGTTAATAATGCTCTACGTCATTTATTATCAATTAATGCTCGTGATTTCTTTATTATATGTGTGAAAAGCTTAAAGGTCATGCAATGTTCACTTCCCACCATTACCAGCAGAGGGCAACAGACATCTAATCCAAACAATTTGTGCACAATGAAAAGTTACAACTGATATTCTCCATACTTAACCTATTTATATAATTAATCACATGTTATATCTGAAAAGGTCTTTTAAAATGTTCATAGTTTGCAGTAATTGACAGACCAAAGTTTTTAATCTTCTTATGCTTATGGTTGCTTAATCTTACGTTGTGTTACATGTCAACAAATGTAAACATGTGTCAATAACAGGTGAATGTGTTTCTTTGCCGCTGTGTAAAATAACAAAAGTAGGTGTTATTATTTTAAAGGTGATCAAAAAGGGAATTATAAAGCATCAGATATTGGTGGCAGACAAAGAAAAAGAATAAATGTGTTTGGACAAGTACAGGACATTGAGATTTTAATAAATAGTTAAAGATGTTGAAGGGAAATGATGGTCGTGAAAATAATTATTAGTTCAAGTATAGGAACTAAAAATGTTTATTAAAAAATTGAGAGAAAAAAAAAAAGAAGAGAGAAAGAGATTTTCAATAATAAATTGGCCAAATATATCAAATGTAAAGCACTGTTGCATTGCTTTTGTTGTGTTTAACTGAATCTGTGTTGGTGTTTTAAAAAAAAGGTTACAGGACAAAGTGGTACTCAGCAAAAGACACACTGTTGGATCACAATAAGCAGTTTTATTTATACATATAACTGCACTGACCTCTGCTGGCCAGGATGGAAATAGCACCTTCAAGAAAGCTTTTATTGCAACTTTACAATTTCATATTTTTTGATTGTCATGCATTTTTTACTTATGTTAAATTGAGAACAAATCGTAGGACAAATCATGAATCACCAGTGAGGTATTTAGTAGTAGTAGTAAGATTGGTCATTAGTGGTATAATTTAACGGATTTGTTGCATCATAACACTTTAAATGTTATGTTATAATGTTGTTTTTTCCACACATATTTCATTTTTGACTGTATTTGTAGCTTCCTCTGTACAAACCTCTTCTTCACAGTGAGTTGTTGACAGGTCCTCTTCCCTCTTGTCACCGCTGTCCGCTCACACACAGTCCCATTAGTGTGAGTGACGTGTGCTGACAGGAGGCCGCGCTGATCTAACCTGTGCGTGTCGCCCCCTGCAGGACGCCTGTGCCTCCGCCGTGGCCCCCACAGCTCTGGACCAGGCCTATCAGTTCGGCCTGAGCAGGAACAGCCACATGAGCTTCAACTTCGACGACACCAAAGTCAGAGAGAGGTCAGTCGCATTTAGATTTTAGATTAAAGGTCCTATATTGCACAAAATCGATTCTTATGAGCATTTGGCCTTGTTATGAAGTCGTTAAATGTGAAAAAACATTACCTGGAGTTGTATTTTGTTTCGTTCACACATGTCAAAATGCTCTGTTCCACCTTGTGATGTCATGTGGTGGTAGTTTTCAAGTTACCTTATATGTTTAGTTCAGAGGAGACTGTCAATTCTGGGACCGAAATTATCCAAATGATTCTATTGAGTTTATTTTTATTTATTTATGTATGTATTTATTTTGGGCAAGTAGAGATTTACATTTTTATACAGTGGAACATATAACATAAGTAAAATCATAATAGAAATAAAAATAAACACCAAAAAATAAAATAAAATAAAATAAAATGTGCCCAAAACCAAAAAGGAGTGGGAAGAAGAAAATGTATTTAATCCCATGGCCCACTCTTCTAATCTATCATCTTTTGCATTTTTCAGACATTTTGCGTTACAAAATGATGACGAAAAGACATTTAAAAACGCAGTGGAGCATTTCCTATATTACCACATGACATCACAAGGTGGAACAGAGCGTTTTCTGTTTGAGAAAAGACTGTTTTTGATGAGGAAACAACATTAAAACATAGATCAGAAAATTGCGGCCTTTAAACTCTATACATTTCAGTGGAGTACAAGTATACAAGTACAAGTATTAGTATAAGTTTGTACTATTCACATGTTACTGAACTATATGGTCTCACTAGTTTTCCAATCCAACGACTATATTTAAAACTTATAGACATTTGATTTATAAATAAACTATAAGTATGGTTTCTAAGTGTTAGAAATAGATTACATGATTGGGCATTAATTACAGAGCTGATTAGCCCTCATCAAGCTGTCAAACACTTAAAACGTCATCTTAAAAAAGAAAAAATGAAAAATGAACTCAAATATAAAAATGGTTTTCCTCTTGCAAACAAATCTATAAATAAAATAATATAAATAAAAATATTCAGCCAGAAATATACTTTTGTTACAGATTAAAGGGCGTAGGTTTGGTTTCAGCTTTGGTGAGACCCATATGTTTTATAAATTCTTTCCAAAAACACACAGAGTCTGAGCAGGTCCAAAATAAGTGAGAGGTGGTTTCATTTTTCAGTTTGCAAAATGTACAGTTTGTGTCCATTGTCCTTCTAAGATTATTCTTTAGTGGATAACAGTGATGTAGAAGTTTGTAGCAGATTTCCCTTTGCTTGTTGGAGATGAGATATTTGTGTGGAAATGTCCGTACATTTTTCCATGGAATATTGTCAGTAGAGTCCGGCTGCTAACAGCGCACGAGTAGGGCTCTGTTTGGGAGGTGCACTTGTGGTGATAGTCGCTCTTTTTCCCGCGGCAACTCATTATAAGGCAAGTTTAATTGAAGATGAAGCAAAGTAAGTTCCTTTTGAAAATTTTTTCAAAGTTTGGTGTGCAGCGTCTTCACTCACGCCTGCTCAAGCTGCCATTTTCACGTGCAGCCCTGTTCTGGTGCTTCCCCAGTTTAGGCTCCTGACACCTCCTAATGACATCACTCTGTTGCAGCCAATCAAATAGCAGCATCTCAGAACATCTAATAAACAAAATGTGAACTAAAACGTGTTAAATTAATACTACTGAGTTTGGAAAAATATCAGAATAAATCTATATATTTGTTTATTAAAATACAATGGCAAATATTGGTAGGAACTATTTTGTCTTCCTCAAATATTGGTTGTGCCATGTCCCCACCGTCCCTATGCCAAACTACGTCCTTGTACAGATTTGACCTCTCCTGTCTCCTCGTTACTGAACTCGTCAAACGTACATCTTGGACTCACATTTGACCTCTAGCCCACAGTTCCTCTTGTAAATAAATGAGGAGTGGCTGATGGTTTGGACAGACAGTGGAGCCAGAGAAAAGCGCACAGATCCAAACACGCTGTATTAATAATGATCTGATGAAATAGTCAGGTGATGTTGACTGCAAATCCTCCTCCTGCTCGTGCTGTCAGGAGCTCAGCACACACACGGGCCGGGATAAGGGTCAAATTAGACACAAGACTGACAGCTATCGGAAAACTCTATAGGAGAGAGTCATGTCCGTGGAGTTTACAAACAGTACAAGCACTGAAAGGATCGCAGTAGAGATCAATATCTGATTTAAGTTTGATCGGCACCTAATAATGAATAATAAATAACAAGATAACGCTGCAAGTACGAGGTGGGACCAAAGTCTCAAGTCTTTGACCTCAAGTCCGAGTCAAGTCCGAAGTCAAAGACAGGCAAATCCAAGTCGAGTCTCGAGTCACTGGCCCACAAGTTCAAGTCCAAGTCGTCTGCTTTGAGCTTCAAAAAAATGCCAAATATAGCTTAGATATTTGCAATTTATATGATTTTTAAGCCACACTGTACTTATGGTATATTTATATGTTATATTTATATAGGAGTATTTAGATAAGAATTGTAGAAATGCAATTTTTTTTTTCCTTTTTAAATGTCTTGACAAGATCTTAGTGTGAATCATTACCGTCAGAATAGAAAAAAGTTAAGATTTAAGAGTGTTTAACAACACTTATTTTGTCGTGTAGTCTGCACTGAAATAGAAGTATCACAAGTTCTACTGTATTGTACTGTGTATTACTGTAGTACATTTGAGGGTACCATATCAAAGTACTTCAGGTACATCCAAAGTAACAAACAGAAAAATGGGAGGGACATGTTCCAGTTTGTTCCTATGAAATTAAGCACCACATTTATCAACTGTAAAGAGAAAAGTATTTTCTAAAAACATTTTCTTAGAAGAAGCATCAAGCCTTCTCAAGTCACAGGCCTCAAGTCCAAGTCGAGTCCCAAGTCTTAGACCTAAAAATACCTCTGACTGCACGTGTTCAAAACATAGATTTTGTCATTTATTGGACTTATGATTAATTTGAATGATTCGAGCTGTTCATTTGTTAGTTGAGTTTTCGTGATGTCAGTAATTCAACTGTTAAAATCACAATATTGCTATCAACAATAATCACGCAAAAAAAACAAAAAACACAATTCATACTTTTACATAGTTGATTCTTAATTGCAATTAAAAAAAGTGACCTATACTTAGAATTGTGGCAATAGCACCTTGAGTCTTAGTAGCTGAGATAAACTCCAACCAATCACCCGGTGTAATTTAAACTCAGTTCAGAAATGAATAATAAATGAATAAATATAATATCATGTTTGTTTTGTTTTAGGTTGATTTTGGAGTTTGAACTGAGGACAAAGGAGGATTCTGGTCTGGTCCTGTACATGGCTCGTATAAACCACGCTGATTTTGTCTCCATTCAGGTACAATAAAGTTCTGATGGTTTGACACGTTCATGAAGTGTTTGTTTTGTTTAATTTATTGTGTTGTTATTGTTTGTAGATTAAAAAAGGTCAGGTGTGCCTGGGCTACGACCTGGGACATGGGAACACCTCGGGCTGTGTACCCTTCTCTATCAACGATGGAAACTGGCACACGGTGAAAGCTCATGGCATTTTGTTATTTTATGCAATTAAAAGAATATTTTCATTTCATATTATCTGAAAAATACGCTTTTGGCTGTCGTTTGGATGTTACAAATCTAAAGAACAGTCAAGATAAAAGTTGTTTTGATTTTGTCTTGTTGTTTTTTCTATGACAATGACAGAAAAATCTACTTTTTCTCCAACCAAGGAATGCACCGCCAACAAGAGACAACTTTTGTATTTTACTTGCAGTATTCCCATTATTCTGTACACTTCTTATGGTAGTTACTGTAAGTCAGGGGTGTCAAACTCATTTTGGTCCAGTGGCCATATCCAAACTACTTTGATCCCAAAGGGGCCGGATCAGAAAACTCATGTCATATAAACCACAAAAATAACAATAAGTTCAAATATTTGTGCAGAGAAACACAAATCTATTACAGAAATCTTTTTTAACTGATGAACTCTTTCTTTTACAAAATATTATAATATTATGAACAACCTGAAACTTTAAGAAAAATGTAATTTCAACACAGTGTTTTAACATTAACTTGTATGCAAATAGGAATAAGTAAATTTTTTTCTTGGAAAATCCTGCACTCGGCTCCACTTTTCTCATTTTTGACATTTTTCTGATGAGGGTGTCACGGTCAACAGTCAAAACGATCGTCCTTTAAGAGCGTTTGGAAAGAGACAAGTCTTCATTTGTGCTGCTCTGGTGGGAGGGGCCACGTACAGAGACGCTGGAGACGCTGCTGTGATAAACACCACAGAAAATTACCAATATTTTAATAGAAAATATAATTAAAATATTTTATTCGAAAATCAGCCGAAGGCCAGATTAAAGGTCTTGGAGGGCCGGATCTGGCCCCCGGGCCGTATGTTTGCTGGAAGTGCATAAACGTCTTCTCTCTCTCTGGTTAACTAAAACTGTAAGAAATATCTAAGAAGTTATCCATCATTCAAATTCAAATACTGTTTTCACTATTTTAGGCCCCGTCCACACTAGTATGTATTTGAGTCGTTTTCGTTGTAGATGCAGTGTTCATTCACACTAATCCGACTGAAAACGGCACCAGAGACGGAACGATCTGGTGCCGCGAGCTCCCACAAATTCATCTGAGTGCAGGTCTGATCCAACACTGTGTGGACGCCTGAAAACACTGATACGCTGATGTAGGTCTGTGCGCCACAAAGTAATTCACCGCCAAAACACTGAGAGGCTAGAATATTTGTCCATTCATATATACGGCCTGGAGACGTATAAAGTCTAATATGAACCATCTCTAATGCCATAGAAGCACAGAACAGACTCACCATCAGCAGATCATCCCTCTGTCACAGAAAGAACACTCATATTCCACTGAGTCGCCTCCTTTAGACCGACAGAAGCTGAACCACATCAGGACACAAAGAGCGAGCTGTTTTTTGAGCGCTCAGTTTATTTAAATTAGCCATGTGGTTTTAAGTTTCGTTTCCGTAAAACGTAAACAAATATGCTCAAAGCTGTGTGAATAGTGAAGGCTTGCGGACAGAGAAACGACGTGTCTGGACGCAGATCCTTTCTGATACAGTGATACGGAGATTTGTTTCAGTGTAAACGTGGCCTTAGATCGATGTTAATGTTGTAATTATTATCAATATGGCAATAATATCCATAGCAAAGGACGGGTTGGCTGCTTTTGTGGCTGCCTGGCTCACACACTGAGCAGATTTTGGAAACTTTTTTTTTTTTGAGCTCATTTTTTAATCAAATGTGGCAGCAGATCTTCTAGAGCACAGGTGTCAAACATACGGCCTGGGGCCCAAATCCGGCCCTCCAAGACCTTTAATGTGGGCCTCGGCTGATTATCTACTAAAATATTTTAATTATATTTTCTATTAAAATATTGGTAATTTTCTGCGGTGTTTATCACAGCAGCGTCTCCAGCGTCTCTGTACGTGGCCCCTCCCACCAGAGCAGCACAAATGAAGACTTGTCTCTTTCCAAACGCTCTTAAAGGACGATCGATTTTGACTCTTGACCGTGACACCCTCATCAGAAAAATGTCCAAAATGAGAAAAGTGGAGCCGAGTGCAGGATTTTACAACAAAAATTTAATTCATATTTGCATACAAGTTAATGTTAAAACATTGTGTTGAAATTGTATTTTTCTTAAAGTTTCAGGTCGTTCATAATATTATAATATTTTGTAAAAGAAAGAGTTTATCAATTAAAAAAGATTTCTGTAATAGATTTGCGTTTCTCTGCACAAATATTTGAATTTATTGTTATTTTTGGGGTTTATATGCCATGAGTTTTCTGATCCGGCCCCTTTGGGATCAAAATAGGTTGGATACGGCCCCTGGAACAAAACGAGTTTGACACCCCTGATCCAGAGGAAACACTTTGAGGGAATAGATCATTTCATCACCAGTGAAACACCAGAGTGCAGTAAGAGTGAGGCCTGGCTCCTTCTGGACACTGCTATGAGGCTGCAGGACACAGGAGTGACACTTTTGGCTCTTCCTCTCCTCAAACTGCCCTGACACAGATCTGCTGACCCTCCCTGACCTTTGACTGAGACATAAAGACGAGACGCACAGTGAAAATGTTGCAGCAAAACTTGAATTTCCCTCAGGATTAATAACACATCTGTCCGCCTGTCTATTTACTTCTACATATTTCTACTCCCACAACTATCGTCAAACCAAGCGAACTCTCTAGATCTGTTTTATAACCGGTGGGGCTATTTTTGTTTTCCTCTCAGATCCGCGTGAATCGCAACAAGCAAAGAGCCGTTCTCACGATCGATTCCAAGTACATGAAACAAATGTTCAGTCCAAAGAAGGTACACGTTTTAAAACTCTATTGTGTTGTGTGAAGTTTGGCTTGCATGGATTAAAAACGTTTAATTCTCAGGCCGATCTGCTGGATGTGGTCGGCGTGATCTACGTGGGCGGTTTACCACAAAACTACACCACCAAGAGGATCGGACCGGTGAGCACGAACCAAACTAAACACTAAAACTACTAATAAAACGTACTCTGTATGCTGAAGGAACCTGTGTTTCGTCTACTTTCAGATCCTGTACAGTGTGAACGGGTGCGTGCGTAACTTTAAGATGCACGGCAGCGCGGTCAGCAGTCCGCTCGAGGATTTTAAGGTGGACATGCAGACCCCCTCCTCCAGTCACATGGTCGGACGCTGCTTTGTCTCCACGGAGCCCGGGACGTACTTTCAGGGGAATGGATATTTGAAAGCAGGTATGAGCCTCTAGTGAAGTTACAGCTCATTACAAATACTCACGCTTCTGTAATTGAGGAGATTTTTTGCGTTTTTGTACTTTTTTTAGTGGATTTAAATTTAATTTAGTAGAATTTTAACTTAGCGATGGTCCGATATTGATGTGATTTGAGCTGATGTCTGATATTTCATTTGCTGTTACGGCTCATGAACGATATTAAGAGTTTCAAATCTACAGCACGGACCAAAAAATATATAAATTAAATTGAAAGTTACATAAAAGACTGTGTAATTGTGTAAATATGAAAAAATATGCATAAAATATTACTCCAAGTACTAGTTATAAGTTTGTTTTTTACTTATAACTAGTACTTGTAGTAATATTTTATGCATATTTTTTTATATTTTATGCATGTTTTTTAATATTTATCAATTTTTTTTTTTTTTATTTTACTGTACTTATTTTTTTTATTTTAATTTTACAGTTTTAGCTGCAGGACCTGTACTTGTAATTAAGTAAATTTTAGCCGTGTACTTGAGTAGAAAATGTTTTCCATCTCTGGGTAATGTGTGTTTAAGTTTCTGGTGGTTTGAGAGCTAATTTCCCAAAGTTTGATTGGACTTTCTAATCCAAACTTTGTCCTGTCTTGTTCTTCCTGCAGTGGCGACGTACCGCGTGGGTCAGGAGGTGTCCATAGCGTTTGACTTCCGCACCAGTCGCACAAACGGGGTGCTGTTAGGCGTCAGCGACAACGACAGGAACGGGCTTGGCATCGAGATCGTGGACGGAAAGGTAAGAGCGCTGGAACGTTTGCACACATAGACACATTTAACACAAGAGATACAAGAGATGAATCTTTTGTAGGCTGTCATTTTTTGGTTCGTTTGACCTGTTAACATTAATGAATAAAGTATCTCTCTTTCTCATCTTAACACTGTTCGATCTAAAGCTAAAGATGTAAAGATTTAATTAATTTAATCTTCTTACATCCATGGACAGTGTTGGGAGGGTTCCTTTTAAAATGTATTCCCCTACAGATTACAGATTACATACCCAGAATGTAGTTTGTAACGTAATCCATTAAGTTACTAAAGGTGAGTAACGTAATCTGAATACTTTGGATTACTTGGTTTGCTGTAGAGAAGCAAAGACGAGGATTCTAACATAAGATTTTTTATTTTGCTAAAAGAAAATAAAAAGCCCAGACTTTACTAAACCAAATTAAAAAATATTATTGACAGAAGATGAGGAGACACGTCCACGCAGCATGATTTAGTCCTGTTAAATCCTGTTAGATCCTGTTTTAGTCCTGGTTTAGACCTGGTTTAAATCTTGTTTAGATCTAGTTTAGACCTGATTTTAGACCTTTTTTAGTCCTGGTTTAGTCCTGCTTTTAGTCCTGGTTTACACCTGGTTTAGACCTGTTTTAGACCTGTTTTAGACCTGGTTTATACCTGGTTTAGATCTAGTTTAGTCCTGGTTTAGTCCTGGTTTTAGTCCTGGTTTACACCTGGTTTAGATCTAGTTTAGATCTAGTTTAGACCTGGTTTAGACCTGGTTTAGACCTGGTTTAGATCTAGTTTAGATCTAGTTAAGTCCTGGTTTAGACCTGGTTTAGCTCTAGTTTAGTCCTGGTTTTAGTCCTGGTTTACACCTGGTTTAGACCTGTTTTAGACCTGTTTTAGACCTGGTTTATACCTGGTTTAGATCTAGTTTAGTCCTGGTTTAGTCCTGGTTTTAGTCCTGGTTTACACCTGGTTTAGATCTAGTTTAGATCTAGTTTAGACCTGGTTTACACCTGGTTTAGATCTAGTTTAGATCTAGTTTAGACCTGGTTTAGACCTGGTTTAGACCTGGTTTAGCTCTAGTTTAGTCGTGTTTTAGACCTGAAAACAGGAAAATACCGCTGTGTAATCCATTTATTTCAACAAAGTAACTGTAATCCAATTACCACTCACTGAAACAGTAACTGTAACTGAATACAGTTACTCATAATTTGTACTCTGATTACATAACTCCGGTACATGTAATCTGTTACTCCCCAACACTGTCCATGGATCTATATGGAACAATGTAACTTCAAAGACTGTTTTCTAAAAATACATTTTTCTTCCACAGGGACATAAGTATCACACTTTAAAGTGGCGCCTACACAAACAGAACGTTCCAAGATTTTGTTATTCTTATTGTCATTCTAAGCTGATTTATTATTAGGTTTTTAAGTCCAAAAAGTTAGGCAACATTTCCATTTTTAAGACAAGTTATCTAATAGATTTTTTTGTATCTAATGTCAACAAAATAAAGATATTTAAACCCGTTACCATTTTTCATACTGTATGTGTTCTGAATTAAACATATTGAGCTGAATGACTCAAATTTGATTGATTAAATGTCTATTTTCATTGCAAATATATCGTTTTGATGCCTAACTTTGTGAACTAATAACTGGATGATGGTTTATGTTTTATAGGCCTCTAACTGTACCCTGTCTGAGGTTTACCGTGGCTCTTATTTTTCCTTTCGTTTCTGGCAACTCATAGTTTTCTGGCATTTTCGTTTTACAGAAAGTAGCTCATGGTAGGAAAAAGGTTGAAGATCCCCGTTTTATTCAAATTGCACAGCAAATTCCACCTTACAAATCTGATCTGCTCCCCTCAACTCTCTGCTCTTGAGAATGTTATGAAACCAAGTCAATTTAAACTTCATGAGCTTACACTCCAATAAACTACAGTAGAATAAATGAGCTAAGAGCACAGTAAACCATTCTGTCTGTCTGTCCCCTCACAGCTGCAGTTCCACGTGGACAACGGCGCAGGTCTGATCACAGCAGAGGTGTCCCCCGAGGGAGAGGGCTTCTGCGACGGCCAGTGGCACTCGGTCACCGCCACAAAGATCCGACACAAACTGGAGCTCAGAGTGGACAGCGCCCAGAGCAAAGCCGAGAGTCCAAACGCCAGATCCAACACGTGTGAGACCAACGACCCCATCTACGTCGGAGGATACCCCGGTACGAGATTTATTATTACCTTTGATATTATTATCATGTGTTTCTGTTTAGTCCTGAGTTCTACTTGTTTGATGAAATTATTTAATCCCCCTTTAGTAGTTGTAGTTGTAGTAGTATTTGTTAGTAGTAGTATTTTCGGTTGTTGTTATTGTTATGTAGTAGTACTAGTAGTAGTAGTAGTAGTAGTAGTAGTAGAAATACCAAAACCATGGGAAAGTAAAAAGAATAATAGTATCAGTGAATTGTGTAGGTAGATAAGTAGCAGAGGTCGGGACTTGCAAGTCGGAGTCGTGACTTGGACTTGAGTCAGACTTGAGTCACTATTTTTAGGACTTGAGACTTGACTTGATAAAATGGACTAAGACTTGGGACTTGAGTTGGACTTGAATCTCAGTGACTTGGGACATGACTCGAACTTGAGCCATATGACTTGAGAAGACTTGATGCTTCTCCTAAAAATATATGTTTTTAGAAAATACTTTACCACAGGATACTACAGGATACTATAACTACTACTACTGTAACTGATGTGTATCCTCAAATGTACTACATTAATATAAAGTACAATACAGTAAAACAGAGGGAACTACAGACAACATGATCCTTCATGACAAAATAATTTATTTAGCACTTTTAAATCTGAATTCTTTCTGTTCTGACCGTAATGATTCACACTAAGATCTTGACAAAACATTTAAAAAAGAAAAAAATACTCTTTTATAATTACACATATATAAATATACCATGACATTTTACGTACAATTTAGTTTAAAAATCATATAAATTGCAAAAATCTACACTGACTTGAAGCTCAAAGCAGACAACTTGGACTTGACTTGGACTTATGGGCCAGTGACCCAAGACTCGATTTGAACTTGCCTGTATTTGACCTGGGACTTGACTCGGACTTGGCAGTAGTAGAAGTAGTTTTAGCAGCAGTAGCAGTAAAAAGTACTATAAAGTACAAGTTGCAATAGTTGTAATCAGAGGTGGGACCAAGTTGTTGTTTTGCATGTCTCAAGTAAGTCTCAAGTCTTTGACCTCAAGTCCAAGTCAAGTCCAAGTCATTTGCTTTGAGCTTCAAGTAATTTCAAGTCTTTAAACCAAAATACCATATATAGTTTAGATTTTTGCAATATATATATACTTTTTAAACTAAGTTGTACTTGAAAAAGTCATGGTATGAGAGTATTTATATAAGAGTTGTCAAAATGCTAATTTTTTCTTTTTAAATGTCTTGACAAGAGTGTGAATTATTACGGTCAGAACAGAAAGAGTTCAGATTTAAGAGCGCTTAATAACAGTTAATTCGTCAACTAGTCTAAGCATCAGGTCTTAAGTCACAGGCCTCTAGTCCAAGTCAAGTCCCAAGTCTTTGTCTATTTTATCAAGTCAAGTCTCGAGTCCTCACCTCTGATTGTGACTGTACTGTACTGTAAGGATTGTAGCCCGGTAGTAGTTGAAATATTAGTACATTTTTATAGAATATCCTTTGTAACTTAAACATTAATAGTCGCTTTCCTCTGGTATAAAATGTGTTGTACTGTGTGTATTTCAGCGGGCGTCCACCAGGCGGCGCTGTCCACCAAACGATCGTTCAAAGGCTGCATGAAGGACCTGAGGATCACCAAAGCTTCAAAGACCCTCGCGGTGCAGTTTAACAAAGCTCTGGAGCTGAGAGGAGTGCAGCCCATGTCCTGCCCCTCTCCCGTCGCCGCCTAGTGAGCGAACACGGAACTGCAGCCACTTTTACCCAACAAAGTACTGTACTGTGCTCAAAATGTACCAATGCAAGTGAATATTTAAGTTCAAACCTGGGCACTATGTTTCAACACGACAGGACCATAAACAGACACATAATTATTATTGTAACGTAACATGATTCACCATTTTGTCCGTGTAAAAAAAAAAAAAAAAAGAAAAGTTTTACCAGGGCCTGTACATTTGCATGCTAGTTTTCGTTTAAAGAGCCTGAATGTGAAAAAGCATAATCTATGTTTTGTCAACGTAATTTAAAAAGCACTTACAGATGTTTGAAACGTGTTGTGCAGTGATGATGATGATAAAACGGTGACTCCATTGTACAGTTTGTGACAGAGCAAAATAAATCTATCATGACATTTGAATTCTTTTGGGTCTATTTTTTCATACTTTTATGTGACGTACCTCTCTTTTAATACCACTAGAGGGCAGTGCTCTACTACATGAAGCTTAGACCACTTGTTGATTCTGATCTGATCACTTTATAAGAGCTTACATGCATTAACAGAATACTAAGTGGTTAATTAGACTCTTTATTAAATACTTCTTTTATGTCTGCCCATGTATCACAAGTTATTGGCCATTTAGTATTTTTTCCTCATTATCTTTAATTACTGCCTCATTATCATTATAGGTGTGATTCTTCATTCTTAATCTCTATAAGCGCTTTATAAACACTAATTAATCGCTAAATAACCTCTAAGTTGCATAATAATTTCCGCTTGCAGTAGTTGTAGGCCCTGTATTTCATATTTTCCGTGTATTTTAGTCCCGCCCCAGTACTGTACAGATCTTGAGGTCACCGTACCGTAAGCATCTAATTATAAAGTCAGTCTGGAAGTGCGTGGTTAGCATGCTAGTTGTTGTAGTGATGGCAAAACTCCATTCTGGCTTCTGAAAGTTCTTAAAAGGTGCTTACGAACTCCTCACGCTGGATCATTAAGATGCTCAGAATGCACAACTTTGGATCGCTGCAAAAAAATGAACTAGTTTTGTTGTTCACTTAGACCTGGCCTGGCCAACCCGTGGCTCCCGAGCCTCATGCGGCTCTTTAACTAGTTTCATGCGGCTCTTCAGGAGCTTTCACATAACATGCGTCAAATATGCTTGGCTGGCGTTACCATTCATTCCCCCTACGGCTAGATTGCACGCAATGTTAACTGTTGAAAAACAACTAATATTATCATGTTGGTGTGGTTATTTTCATTAAATCTGGCTGAGCATAGGTCTGTGTGTGTGTGCGTGCGTGTGCGTGCATACATGATTAAGAAATGGGATGATGTTCATGTGTACCCATGTGTATGATGTGGCTCTTTGCAGTAACACAGAAAAAAAAGTGGCTCTTAGTCTTCTACTAGTTTATCCACCCCTGACTTAGACAATAGATTCTGTCCACACTTACATCATAAAACTGGCAGAAGTTTGGAAACATAAAATTACAAAAGGCATCTCAACAAATGTACAGAATATGCAGAGATACTAGGGATGTAACAATATCCAAATCTCTCAGTACGATATTATCACAATGTGCATCTCATGGTACGATATTTACTGCCATATTTTGGAGAGGCTGATATAATTGTAGATATGACACTTTTTGCTTTTAAAATACCTTGACAAGATTTTGGTGTGAATTATTTCCATCACAATCCAAAGAATTCAAGTTAAAACATATTTCTGCATGTTTTCTGCACTGAAATGAATCATGGGATATGTAGTTCCCGATGTTTATAAGCTGTTGCTACTATAAAACCATGCATTTAAAAGGAACTTGTAATTCGATATATTGTGACAGTCCACGATATTTTTGTGAGACTTTTGACGATACGATATCGTATTTTGGTTATTGTTACTTCCCTAATAGATACTATTAGTGAACAGAAAAGGATCTACAATTACCTCTGTCAAATTCTGGATGCACCGGTTCGTCGCAGGCGAGTCAGGCGGTTATGGACGAGACCTGGAGAACAAGTCGATGGTGGGACGACTTTGTGGAAGGAGGCGGTGATGAAAATGTGTGGTGTGAAAACTGTGTCCATCCGTATGTCCGGTTGTCCAAAGATGCCCTTGTTGCTTTAAGTTCAAGCATACCCAGTCGAATTCCTCACACTTTTGAGTCACCGTATGCACGCAGATTTCCTCCCAAAAACATTCATCTAAAGGCAGAATAAAAAGCGAAGACAAAACGCCACTTTTGCGTCTTCTGTTCAGACCGTCACCATATAAACGTAGCCTTAATTTGGGCTCTGTTGGCGATAGTAACTCTGACAAAATTGCCTGGTTTTCTTCATCTAGATGTCATTGTATCCTTTCTTTTTTCCTTTTATAAATTGCCTATTAATTTGTGTATTATAATTTGTCTAATTCAATAATGTACATGTAAGTGACATCAAATCGAGTAAAGTCGAGCCCCTCTTGGAAAGTTTTGGCAGGTTGTGAAGAGCGCTGCTTTTATCACATGCCAAGTGTCAGTAACTATACTCATGCAGTGGCGGAGTCAGCAATTTGGGGGCCCTAGGTAAACTCAAGTTTGGGGCCCTCACTATAACTTTAACTATGTTTTAGGGTTTTTTTTGTAGTTTTTTTAATATAAATTTATTGTCTGGGTAACACTTTATAATAACTACACCATATTTAGCCTTAATAAAGCATGAACAAAGACTTAATAATGATTCACGCTTAGTAACTACTTAATTACTACCTGAATTAGCACTTAACTTGCACTTAATTCGCCTGTGCTGTAAATAGTTACTCAATACTTCTTAATTACTCATGAACTAACCATTTGCATGTTTACAAATGCATATTTAAGTACACAATTGAGCATTTATTAATGATTAGTAAGCTATGAGAGAATGATTTACTAATGATGCAATGATCATTCAGGCAGCTGTTATCTGTTAGTTTAGTCTTTCTGAGAGCTTTTCTAAAGTGAAGACTAATTATGTTTTATTAAACATTTGTTAAGGTTGGTCAAACTCCAGAGAAACAATAATGCATTACTAGTAAATCATTCTCTCATGGCTTACTAATCATTAATAAATGCTCAAATTTGTACTTAAATATACATTTACAAATGCACACACAAATGGTTAGTTCATGAGTAATTAAGTAAGAAATACTTATGAGTTACTATTTACAGCACAGGCGAATTAAGTGCAAGTTAAGTGCTAATTCAGGAAGTAATTAAGTAGTTACTAAGCGTGAATCATTATTAATTAAGTCTTTGTTCATGCTTTATTAAGGCTAAATAAGGTGTAGTTATTATAAAGTGTTACCGTTGTCAGTTTTTTTTCCCATTTTTCATGAGACACGCACATCTTTATTTGAATTATGATGGACTGGAAATTAGTTTTATTAGTTCGGTCGCCTACTAGATAACCGGAGCTGAAAGTAGTTTTATCTTTTGGTTGTACAATTACATTTTTGTTTACATCCTTTACATGTGATTATGATTCTGTTATGATTATGTTCAAATCAGGGTCAGGGTGTTTAAAAGTAACTACTCTCATTTAATGTCATACTGAGAAAAACATCAAATTGCTGCGAGTCCTCGGCCTTTAGTGGCACTGAGGGAAATTGGTTGGGGGTCCCTCCAGGTTCGGGGGCCCTACTTTTGCCTCATGGTAGCGCCACCTCTGTCTGCATGTTTCCAAGGTTTCCAGGTCAGCGTGAAGAGAGCCTATTTCTAAATGGTCCCAAAACTAAAGTGATACCAACTTCTGCTTGGAAACAACATAAAAAATAAACAGTTGATTTGTGCAAACCCCTTTAATTTCACATTCCTCTCCACATGTGATAAAGAACGGTCAGAATCTGCTGTTATCTGAGCTCCTGCAGTGGAATGTACTGAAGATGAACCAAAACATTATTTCTGACTTAAATATGACACAGAAAGTGCCTTTGTCTACATCATTTGTTCCAGCAATAAACACAAAAATAAATCAAATACTCAAATATTCATTATAATCAATCGTTTTACTTCACCTATTTTTTTACTTGAATAATATTTTTGAAAATGAATTTTTACAATATTTTTTGGAATACATCTGCTATTCATAAAAAACAAATGAATTAATAATAAATATATTTTATCTACTTATTCAGCCAATCCCAAGTCAAGCATGTCGTGGCCCTGTTACACATCAGTTCATTTCATGCAAAGTCCCGGCGATAACAAATGACTCACTCACAAATTTGAATTTTTAAAAACATTATTACAAATTCAGCTAAGGGCTAATATTATAATTAAACAAATACATATTTAGTTGATTTATTTTAATGATGTGTGGGCAGGGATTGGGAATTACTGCCGACTAACTGAGATAGAAAAAACAGCGAGGTAATGTGTACACCGAAATAAACCCGAGCCCCGCCTCGACACCACCGGGTAACATGCTGACGTAAACTCACAGCGCCCTCTAGGTCAGTTTCAGTGAATGACGAGCGACAGAACACACAGCTACAGCTTTAATCTAAGGCCTTGGACACACTGCACGCAGATTTTGTCCTACACAAGCGTCAAAACAGGAGCCCAGGTTCAAAAAGACTGTTCCTTTGTGCTTTAAATGGACTTTTGAAACTGCCGTGGTCAGACTGTACAGACGGAAAATACAAGTCTATACAGCGAGTTGTTTTCACTGTAGACCTGTTCTCAGTGGCTACACACAAAGTCTTGTCGTGTTGTCGTGTTGACGTGGTGTGGTTGTGGTTTCATGAGCGCTTGTCATGTGACTGTGGCGTGCAGTGTGTTTGGGGCCCAAGTCTCATGTTGACGTCAACCAAAAGATTCAAGCAGAACATCGTGTAGAGCAGCGGTCCCCAACCTTCTGTGCACCACGGACCAGACCAGACCAGACCGGGCCGGGGGAGCAGTGTTGGGGAGTAACAGATTACATGTACCGGAGTTACGTAATCAGAGTACAAATTATGAGTAACTGTATTCAGTTACAGCTACTGTTTTAATGAGAGATAATTGGATTACAGTTACTTTGTTGAAATAAGTGGATTACATGGCGGGATTTTCCTGTTTTCACATAATTCCACTTATTGTCGGACACTAAACCAGGTCCAAACCAGGTTCTAAACAAAGACTAAACCAGGACTAAAACTAGGACTAAAACCAGGTCTAAACCAGTTCTAAACCAGGTCTGAACCAAGACTAAACCAGGTCTAAACCAGTTCTAAACCAGGTCTGAACCAGGACTAAACCAGGACTAAACCAAAACTAAACCAGGTCTAAACCAGGTTTGAACCAAGACTAAACCAGGACTAAACCAGGTCTAAAACCAGGACTAAAACCAGGTCTAAACCAGGTCTAAAACCAGGTCTAAACCAGGTCTAAACCAGGTCTAAAACCAGGTCTAAACCAGGTCTAAACCAGGACTAAACCAGGTCTAAACCAGGACTAAACCAGGACTAAACCAGGACTAAACCAGGTCTAAACCAGGTCTAAACCAGGTCTAAAGGACTAAACCAGGTCTAAACCAGGTCTAAACCAGGACTAAACCAGGACTAAACCAGGTAACCAAGACTAAACCAGGACTAAACCAGGACTAAACCAGGACTAAACCAGGTCTAAACCAGGTCTAAACCAGGACTAAACCAGGTCTAAACCAGGACTTAACTGGACTAAATCATGCTGCATGGACCGTGTCTCCTCCTCTTCTATCAATAATATTTTTAATTTGGTTCAGTAAAGTCTGGGCTTTTTATTTTCTTTTAGCAGATAAAACATCTTATGTGAAGATTTCCTCGTCTTTGGATTACTTGATTTGCTGTAGAGAAGCAAAGTATTCAGATTACATTACTCACCTTAAGTAATTTAATGGATTCTGTCACAAACTACATTTTGGGGTATGTAATCTGTAATCTGTAGGGGATTACATTTTAAAAGTAACCTTCCCAACACTGCGGGGGAGGGGGGGCCTGGTCCTGGTTTTAGACTTGGTTTAGTCCTGGTTTAGTCCTGGTTTAGTCCTGGTTTAGTCCTGGTTTAGTCCTGGTTTAGTCCTGGTTTAGTCCTGGTTAAATTCTGATTTAATTCTGGTTTAGTCCTGGTTTTAGTTCTGGTTTAGAGACACGGCCCGTGAGGCACGGTCCTTGCGGCGTGTGGGGGGGTTCGTGCTTTCATGGCCCAGTACCAAATGACCCATGGCCCGGTGCTGGTCCGTGGACTAGGGGTTGGGGACCCTGGTGCAGAGCTGAAATAGACTGATAAACCTGTTCACATTTCCAACACAGGAGACAGGAGCCCGGCAGTGAACAGACTTACGTAGTAGAAATCCTAACAATACTTCATTTTTATAGTCATCATCAGCTCTGGAGTGACAGCGCCGCCCTGGTGGTGGATCTAGTGACTTATTGCATGCTGTCAGGTCTCATCGTGTGGATATTTTTTTTTCGATGTGGCGTTTGGGTCCAGTCTATTGTCCCATATAATCCAGCGTCGTTCCTTAGCCACTCCCGGGTGTTTGCAGTCGCCCCCTTGTGGTGGTGAGCAGACAGTACGACACAGTTCATGTTTGAGTTCTAATCCGGGCCTTGTCAAGAAGACTGCATCAGACCGGTGAGCCGCTTCCCTGTCAAAGACTTGCCCTGAAAAAGAAAAGAAAATCAAAATGTTTAAGGTACAATTCACAACTTTTCTGGCACAAATGCATAATTTTGTTTCATATCTGCCATCTACTGGTAAAAAAAAAAAAGAAAGAAAAACCCACAAACTTGCAGATGTATGAGTAACCTTTTATTACTAGTCTGCTAATATCTAAATCTGAAAATACTCTTTTCCACCTTGTGATGTCACGTCATTTTCAAGTTTTGACACCTACCTTTTGCAGATATGGTCAATTACAGCACTGAAATCCTCCAAATTATTCTTGTGAAGGCAAATGGAGTGAAAAAGGTGATTAAAAAAAAAATAAATCACCTCCCTCAAGTGGAGGAGTCCAAGTGTCTCGGGGTCTTGTTCTTGAGTGAGGGGAGGATGGAGCGTGAGATTGACAGGCGGATCGGTGCAGCGTCTGCAGTGATGCGGTCGCTGTATCGGACCATTATGGTGAAGAGGAGCTGAGCTGAAAGGCAAAGCTCTGGATTTACCGTCAATCTACGTTCCTCCTCTCACCTGTTGTCATGAGCTCTGGGTAATGACCAAAAGGACGAGAGCACAGATACAAGCAGTTGAAATGAGTTTCCTCCGCAGGGTGGCTGGGCGCTCCCTTAGAGACAGGGTGAGGAGCTCAGTCACACAGGAGGAGCTCGGAGTAGAACCGTTGCTCCTCCACATTGAAAGGTCGAGGCTGAGGTGGCTCGGGCATCTTTTCCGGATGCCTGTTGGGCTTCTCCCTCAGGAGGTGTTCTGAGCCCCCAAGGGAAAACCCAGGACACACTGGAGGGACTATGTCTCTCAGCTGGCCTGGGAACACCTGGGGGTCCCCTTGGAGGAGTTGGAGGAAGTCTGGGAGTCCCTGCTTAGACTGCTGCCCCCCCGACCCAGCCCCAGATCAGCTGAAGAAAATGGATGGACCTTTTAAATCTTCCAAATTCAGAGTGACATTTGAAAAAATGTGAAAAAAATGCAAAAGCAATCGACCGTGAGGACAGAGGCTCTTTCCTTCTGGCCTCGCAACAGTTTACAGTTAAGAAATCAAAGAGATGAGGTTTTGATGAGGTTAATTCAGACTAATCAATGTAGGTTCCCAACTGCATTTCCTGTTTGTTACCAAGTTAAGATCGACTCACTCAGGATCGATCGCTTTTGCCTTGGCATCTTGGATCATTAAGCCAGAGACGTTCATTTTGTCTTCTTCTGTACTTTAACGTCTTGGCTTCTTTTTAAAGTCAATACGGTAAAGTGTGTTCTTCTGAAGATGCAGCAGGCGAAACACGTCAACAAGATAAAAAATACACTTTACTGTATTGTCTTCAAAAAGAACCTAAGAACTTAACCTTGGATCTTTGTTGTGTATTTTTTCGCTGCAAATGTTACACTCTGAATTTGAGATCTTGAACACAAATGCGCTGAATATTTAAAAGGTAACACTGAAAATGTATAAGTTAAATTTCATCAACTAAGATTCAGATTCCCAGGATAAGCGGAAGAAAATGGATGGAAGATTCAGATTAAAAATTATTCACATAAACACATTTTGTCAGAGTTAAGAAATTCAAAGTGAGAAAGTTAAACGTGTGTGAATGAAACAAAACACAACTCCAGATTTGTGATGTTGGTGATGAGGAAACAACATTATAACACAGAAAAAAAACAAAAAAAAGGAGTAATATGTTCCCTTTAAGTCCTCCTAAAGTCCTCACCAAATTTGTCGTGGTTGAGTCAGATTTAGCTGTGATTCAGTCCCAGTCCCTTTTACTCAATTAAAAAATGGTCTTTGAAAATCAGACACATGTTTTAAGACAATTATATCGTAAACCAAAGCAGTGTTTTGAGCCTGACTTCAGTGCTCGGTGATTTTCTGGTGCGCTTGTTGACAGCTGAAATAATGATCAGAGCGGTGAACAGCTTGTACCTGCTGTCAGCCAATATCAGAACATGTCCCAGAGGGGTTAGGCTCAACAGCACAACAAGACTCTCATAAGTACAGGAGAAAAAAACTGTCAAAACACACTGGTGCTAGAATGAGACTGGAGTTTAAAGACTCTTCTGTAAAAACATCGATATAACGTGAGGCTGAGATTCTACATTTGGACGGAGGATTTTCCAAACTGCTTATTACTGAATGTTAATTTAATCACAGTCTCCAATGAATATCTGCATAATTTTAGAATATTGATTTTCTCTCATAAGCAGAGGTGGTCACGGTTCGAGAAATCACTCAGGTAATAGTAAAAATATATTTGTCGAAACTTCTAGTCAAGTAATCTAGACTTAAAGAGTCATTAAACAACCTCCCGAAGCTTTACTCTGCGTTTGATTATCTTCCAACTCCCACCTGGACCTCGGATTTGACGTCACATCTGAGCTTGAAGTGTATTATTATCCCTCGTCTTATGAAAACGCTGCCACTTTAATATTTGAAATTTGCACTTCATTTTATGTTATGATTTCTCTGCTGTTAGAACTTTAGGGACACGCCCGTGAAATCGAGTATTGGCCTCACCACAACAGCAACTACCAAACCCACAGGCAGTGATACGGACGCGGTGAAGTACTGCAGTGATACGAGTGACTGAAATTGTCATTTAAACCACCGAAGTGTCCAAACACAATGAAAACACTTCATATTTACACGGCACAGTGGGTCCACAGTGGTACAGACCAGGCTGGGACCAGACCCACGGCAGGGCTGGAGCTCGAAGCTGAGGCTCGAACCCCACGAAGGCTCGGAGTCAAAGCTCGGAGTCCGTCCTGGTCCCGCTCTCGGAGTCAAAGCTCGGGTCCTCGGGTCCTCGGGTCCCGCTCGGGTCCGCTCGGTCCCTCGGGTCCTCGGTCCCGCTCTGGTCCCGCTCTGGTCCCGCTCTGGATCAGTCCCGCTTCAGTCCGTATGCGGTGCAAAAGTCCGGCATTGCAGTCACGGAAGTCACGTTTATGTTTTTCAATATACGGTTTTATATTGAAAAACGAATGAACGAATGACACACGGATTTATTCACCATTTCAAAATGAGCTCTAGTCACACTTATGTCACAAACCAGGAAGACGTTTGGAAACATGCGATGACAACTTCCGGTGTAGTTCCCAACACTGGGCTCGCCGACCGACTGAAGTAAACGTGATCAGCAGAAAAATAAAGACAGCAGACGTATGTGTTGTTTGAAATCATCTTGAATTTGGCGCCTCATCTCTTCTAATCACATGAACCCAGTGCGTTGGAGTTCTGTGTCAGTGTGGAAATGATGAAAACTTGTATAATAATAATAATATTTATATTATCCAAGCTTATATTATTATCCCTCATCTTATGAAAACGCTGCCATTTTAATATTTGAAATTTGCACTTCATTTTATGTTATGATTTCTCTTCTGTTAGAACCGTAGGGATGTTAAAGCCTGTTAAATCAAGTATTTGTTCAATATTGGCCTCACCACAACACAGACTACCAAACCTATAGGCAGTCATACGGGTGTGGTGAGGCACTTGCAGTGATACGAGTGACTGAAATGATCATTTAAACCACCAAAGTGTCCAAATACAATGAAAACACTTCATATTTACACGTCACAGTGGGTGTAACCGTATTTTATTCTGACTCGGAATCCTTGCTCAGTCTACTTTTTCCGCCACCGAGTTTGCGCGAGTCAGAGGCAACTTCCTCGGAAAACTGATTCGGAAGGATAATCGAACGCAGGGCTACTCCACCTCTACGCAAAATCTGAAAAATCTTCCAGAGTGCCTGGCGGTTTGAGGGGAGCGGGTGTGGGGCAGGCTCACAGCCAATTGACAGCCAACAATCCAACACGGCGCAGACCGGTGCACTCATTTGTGCTTTGATCACACGGTTTCTCCAGACACGGTGGGACATTGCGGTGACCAGTGGTGCCAGGTCGGGGCGGCGCTGAGAGGGGCTCCTCACGTACCGCCCGTAGATGCCAATGCCAATAACCTGCATCTGACCCTGTGTTCCTGCTGAATCGGTTTTCTGAAGAAGTGGCCTAGTGACACTCGTGACAAGCCCCTTATCCTGCGTGACTCGGACCTCAGGCTGAAAAAGTAGACCGAGCAAGGATTCCAAGTCAGAATCCAAGACGGTTACACCCACTGTGACGTGGAAATATGAAGTGTTTTCATTGTGTTTGGACACTTTGGTGGTTTAAATGACAATTTCAGTCATTATCGTATTACTCTAATCCATATCACTGTCTGTGGGTTTGATAGTCGTGTTGTGGTGAGGCCAATACTTGATTTAACGAGCGTTAACGTCCCTAAGGTTGTAACGGAAGAGAAATCATAACATAAAATGAAGTGCAAATTTCAAAAATAAAATTAATTAAAATGGCAGCGTTTTCATAAGATGAGGGAATAGTGATCATCATAATTTACGTCGTCCGACACTCGGAACATAATAACATGCTTCAAGCTCAGACGTGACGTTAAATCCGAGGTCCAAGTGGGAGTTCAAAGATAATTGAACGCAGGGTTACTCAATTTCGATCGTTGGTTCAACCCGAAAATTCAAATGTCAGGCCATAGTTGATCGTAAAGAGGCCGCTGCAGACACGACTTTGACCCAAATGTCAGATTTTTAAGTTTTTAACTATGCAATAAATGCCAAACTAAGGCCAGGGATAGAGATACACTTCTATGTTAGTCTCATTTAGATAATCAGCAGAAAAAAGTGATTTTGGTGTTCAGTGTTTAGCCCTTTAAGAGCTGTATATAAATTGAAGTTAACGTAATAAGGATAAATCACATAAAAAAGCAAACGTTAATTTTATCTCAAGGAGAGCGCGGTGCTAGAAACAGAAACGTCACAAATCATTTCATTTTGTCAACAGAAAGCTTTTGTCACGTGTAAACTTACTCACAGTTTGAAGAGGAACAACAACTTCTACTCAAATTAAACTAAACAGTAAATCGTCACATTTAAGCAGCACTTTTCCACTTTCAAGGCTCTCAAAGTGTTTTATATCAAAGAAGTATTCACACATTCACACACCAGTGCACGCAAACAGACCGTGGCGAAGTGTTGTGTCTTGCCCAAGGACACAACAACAGTATTCATTTGTGGCAGCTTCAACCAAACTGCTGAGCTTCGGATGAGGAAAGGAGCACTTTACCAACTGTACTAAATGTATCGTGTTAATTGATCTGTTTGAGAGGATAGACTTCGACTTCAACTTAGACAAACTTTATTGATCCACAAGGGAAATTATTTAAATATATAAGTACAGTATATATAGAGAGAGAGACAGTAATAACGCTTGAGACTTACCACGCTGCGAGTGAACTTCTCCAGAGAAGTACGTCTGCCCTGGTCTGTTTCAGGCTGGAAACAAAACACACATCACAACATTATCAACTACAGACAGAACACATTCACTTATGTATTCAAATCTGTGTGTCATTCGTTCATTCGTTTTCAATATAAAACCAAAAATAAGAAAATGAAAAAACAACAGTTTCTTCATTATTTGTCTCCAAAACCAAAATGAAAAAAACAGATAATGATTTGTTTTTTTCAGTTTTTGATTTTGTGTTTAAATGAAGAATAGAAAATCGGATAATGGCCGTTTACGTGACTTCCGTGACTGTGATGCCGGACTTCTGCACCGCATACGGACTGAACCGGGACTGACCCAGGTCCAGGACCACACCGGGACCAGACCGGGACTGAGACCGGGACCAGAGCGGGACTGAGACCGGGATCAGAGCGGGACTGAGATCGACACTGAGACCAAGACCAGGCTGGGACCAGACCCACGGCAGGGCTGGAGCTCGAAGCTGAGGCTCGGACCCCACAAAGGCTCAGAGTCCAGGCTCGGCGTCCAGGCTCGGCGTCCAGGCTCGGCGTCCAGGCTCGGAGTCCAGGCTCGGAGTCCAGGCTCGGAGTCCAGGCTCGGAGTCCAGGCTCGGAGTCCAGGCTCGGAGTCCAGGCTCGGAGTCAGGCTCGAGTCAAGGCTCGGTCAAGGCTCGGAGTCAAGGCTCGAGTCCCGGTCTGGTCCCGGACCTTTATCAGTCCTGGTTCAGTCCGTATGCGGTGCAAAAGTCCGACATCGCAGTCACGAAAGTCACATAAACGGGAAACAGGCAGTTATCCATTTTTTCCATTCTTCATTTAAACACAAAATCAAAAACTGAAAAAACGAAATTGCTGTTCGTTCTTTCATTTTGGCTTTGGAGACAAATAATGAAGAAAACAGTTGTTTTTTCATTTTCTTATTTTTGGTTTTATATTGAACCAAACCAACCACACATTTATGGAAACTTCTGCAACAGACTTGGGAAGAACTTTCTGAAGAATATTTGATTTCTATTGTAAAAACAACAAGTCACGAGTGTGTTTAGCTGTTATATCTGACAAAGGTGGACACTTTCATCAATCAAAAGTTTAGAATATGTTTTGATCAACAGTAAACAAATTGGAAAAACTGTTGTTCTAAAACTTGTGAGCAGTAGTGTACGTAGTTAGAGTTCACTTTCAGTAACACCAGTCTTGTAAAATGGAAACACAAACGCCGTCTACACTAGTCCCCAAACATCGCTGCATGTTTTGATTAGTATGCAGTCAGAGAACAGTCCCATCATGCACTGGGCCTGACCTTCCTTCGGGCCAGCAGCAGGTCCTGGTACACGCTGGAGCGCAGGAAGCGGCTGTAGCTGTCACTCTTCATCAGGTGGTAGATGTGGTCCTGCAGAGAGGAGCAGCACAAGGCCAGGATGTACGTGAGACTTTTTATGATCAAACACATGTACGGCACAGAGAAGAAGAACAATAATACACCTGCACTTTGTTCACTGTCACTCTCAACCAATCACAATCTGCAATCCTCCTCTTCATCTTCACTACAGCAAAACCAGCAGCCTCCTCAGCCTCTCCTCCTCTTCCTCACCACCAGTGTTTTGTTTTGTTTTTTTCTAATGAAATGCACTTATAAAACGCTCTCTTGACGTTTTGTAAAGACACTGCACTGTTCTAACAGATTTGACAGACTTACATTATTTTAATCAACAACTAGCATGCTAACCATGCACTTTCCGGTTCACGGACATGTGACGGGACTGATTTTAAACCATGAATGTCAAACATGTTTTAGTTTTAATTTCAACCACGCCCACTTTTAATTTCTGGTTTGGACCCGGTTTAGACCTGATATAGTCCTGATCCTATAGTCCTGGTTTAGTCCTGATTTAGACCTAGTTTAGACCTGGTTCGGTCCTGGTTCAGTCCTGGTTCAGTCCTGGTTCACTTAGGTTTAGTTCCCCTGGTTCAGTCCTGGTTCAGTTCTGGTTTAGACCTAGTTTAGACCTAGTTTAGACCTGGTTTAGACCTGGTTTAGTTCTAATGGTTCAGTCCTTGTTCATTTCGGGTTTAGTTCTCCTGGTTTCTGATGCTCTGATTTTGCACCATGACACAGAAACAATGTCTCTTTCAGTTGTTTCCAAGTGGTTCTCATCAGGCTCCGCCCACTTGTTTTTTTTGTTGTTTTTTGTTTTTTTATGACAGAGAATTAATTGTCAACTGGATAGAGTCAAGTCGTTGTGTTTCCATGATTCTTGCCTGTATAATGTCTAAAACAGACGAGATTTATCCATGAAAATAAAACCAACAATTTTCTTCATTATTTGTCTCCAAAATAAAAAAATAAAAAAAACATTAGCAATTTGTTTGTTTGTTTTTTCAGTTTTTGATTTTGTGTTTAAATAAGTAATAGAAAAAAATAAATAAATAACAGCCATTTCCCTTTTCATCCAATTTTGACCAAGAATCTATAATAAAAACTGGAGATGCCAGACTTTTGAACCACATACAGAACCAGGACTAAACCAGGTCTAAACCAGGTCTAAACCAGGACTAAACCAGGACTAAACCAGGACTATATCAAGTCTAAAACAGGTCTGAAGCAGGACTAAACCAGGTCTAAACCAGGTCTAAACCAGGTCTAAACCAGGTCTAAACCAGGCCTAAAACCAGGACTAATATCAGGTCTAAACCAGGTCTAAACCAGGTCTAAACCAGGACTATACCAGGACTGAACCAGGACTGAACCAGGACTAAACCAGGACTGAACCAGGTCTAAACCAGGTCTAAACCAGGAGGACTAAACCAGAACTGAACCACGTCTACACTAGGTCTAAACCAGGTCTAAACCAGGTCTAAACCACGACTATAGAATCAGGTCTATATCAGGTCCATGTCAGGTCTAAACCAGGTCTAAACCAGGACTAAACCACGTCTAAACCAGGACTAAACCAGGTCTAAACAGAACTAAACCAGGTCTAAAATCAGGTCTAAACCAGGTCTAAACCAGGACTAAACCAGGACTAAAACAGAACTAAACCAGGTCTAAATCAGGTCTAAACCAGGTCTAAACCAGGACTAAACCAGGACTAAACCAGGTCTAAATCATGACTAAACCAGGTCTATATCAGGACTAAACCAGGACTATATCAGGTCTAAACCAGGTCTAAACCAGGTCTAAACCAGGTCTAAACTCTAAACCAGGTCTAAACCAGGACTATAGAATCAGGTCTATATCAGGTCCATGTCAGGTCTAAACCAGGACTAAACCACATCTAAACCAGGACTAAACCAGGACTTAAAACAGAACTAAATCAGGTCTAAACCAGGTCTAAATCAGGTCTAAAGAGGCTCAAAACGGTTCTGTTTAGCTGCATATGATGAAAGGTTTTCACTCCGCACTCTTCTCTCTCATTTAATATTTCTGTCTCTTTTTAATTTTATGATGATTATTTACATTTTGATTAGTTTTAATTGTGATTTTAAATGTTTTTCTTAGTCTGTAAAGCACTTTGAATTACTTTGTGTACGAATTGTGCAACAAATAACCTCTCCTTGTCTTGTCTTCGCGAACAATGTCCCTGATTTTATAGATACTCGGCGTCTTCCTGTGATATTATTACTACACGTTATCCCCACATTTCACTTATCGTCACATCTCTAAATTTAGAACTGTCACACGTTAATAATACGACCAACCTGCACGCGCGAACTGACATTTCGACGCCGACATTCGTATTTAGACTCTCCTCTGCGGGTCCGTGGAGGATTTGACGGACAGGCGGGCTCTTAAGCTCCCTGCCCCCCCCCTCCTCTGTACCTGTCCCCCGCCTGGGCTCGGAGCCGTGAGCCCTGGGTAATATTAGGCCATTAGCCGGCGGTGGTGGAGCGTGGAGCGGAGGGGACAGGCGGGCCCCGCTCTGTCACCAGTAGAAGTGGAAATCTGCCGCCCGCTCGGAGGTATGGGGGAGCGAGTGCAGGTCAAATGGAACTTTCACTGTGAAGCCCAATTACGGTCAGATATAATGTTATGTAAAATGTGTAGGTGGAGACAGAGTGGCAGGTGCGGGATTTGAAGGATTTTTTTATTACGTTGAGGGCAGGGGCCATTACAGAAGCCAGTGGTGGAATGTACAAAAATAAAAATACACTAAAATTGTACTTAAATATTGTATCTGTGCTATTTAAGTTCATTTTACAGTGGATACTTTTTATTTTTCACTTTTACTTTTACGTTTACTACATTTGAGAGCATGTATCTTTACTTTCTACTCCACTGCATTTTAAATCTGGGCTGAAAAGTAGAATTTTTTTTTTTTTTTTTATGTTTTGAGACCATTTCATTTGAGTTAATGTCCCAATTTGAGCAAAGAAAATGCACAAAAACACAAAAACAGCTCGAAAAAAAATTAAGAGATCATTTGAATCCTTATACACTTTAAATGCTCTGAAAAATCTCTGCAAAATACTTCTACTTTTCTAATCTGTAAGTACATTTTTAAACAGGTACTTTAATAATTTTACTTAGATTTTTCATGTGATACTTCTACTTTTTACTCTTTAAGTACCTTTTTAAATGAGTACTTCAATAGTTTTACTTCAGTAGATTTTTCATGTGATACTTTTACTTTTATTTGATTAATCTTTTGCTTCTGTATCTGTACTTTTACTTAACAAAATGGAATACTTCATCCACCATTTTTATTATAACAAACTAATATTTTAAACAATGTTTGGGTCACAAATCAGATTTTCTTTTGGCCCTATGCTCCTGTATCTGATCTTTTAATAACAGTCTGAACAACACAGATCTGATTTTTTCAAATGCGACCCAGGCCACTTGGATATGTGCTCCTAAAACTGATACATATCTGATCTTTTGACATGTGACTTCAGTCTGAATGGCCAGGTCACATTCATCTCACCTACATGTCAGGCTCGGAGTCTAATCAGTGGAGAGAAAGCGAGGTTAACGAGTTTATTCATATTTGGGGGGATCGCTGTATTCAGGCCAAGTTGAAGGGGTCTTATCGGAACTGGGTGTTTTTTGAAATGATCACCAAAGAAATGTCCGAGCGCGGCTACAGACGGTCCTGGCTCCAATCTCAACAAAAATCCTGCCTGTGAAGCCTGCGAACCAAATACAAGGAGGCTAAAGACTCAAACAAACAAAGCAGCAATGGACGTGTAACCTGTCCATTTTACGATAGTTTTGCCGCTGCCGTCAGCTTGGCAGAAACGACATCATATGATTTCTGTAAAAAATAATAATAATTTTACAAATATTCTCGCACAAATGAAAACCGTCACAGCACAAAACAGCACAAACGAAATACAAATGTTTCGTATAATTTTCTGCTTGTTTTGAAGCTATTTAACATTCTGAGAGGCTGGATGACGTCGTCGGCCAAAAATAAAACTGCCAATATCTTAAGAACCATAATCACAGAAACAAAACTTTTTGCAGCACAAAACGGCACAAACAAACGACACCAGTTTGGGCCGTTTGAGAACATTTGGAGGCTTCCTGGGGGCTGGCTGACCCCAGTTTGACCTATAAAAGAATCGTTAATACCTCAAAAACGTTTTGCAGCACAAAACGGCTCAAACGGAGCATATTGACGTAGTTTTTGTGTAGGTTTGAGTTTTTTTGCATTTGATGGGGGGCCAACTTCAAGCAGGTCGGCATTAAACCTTTTTATCTTCATGGAGACCAGACCAAGTGGCAGGTCAGATCTGTAGAGATGGCAACCCCGCTCACAGTGAGAATACCTGTTTTTCTAGGTATTTTTGAGCTATAAAACCACCTGTAATTGAATAAATGTAAAGTAGAGCAATGACATATTCATAGAAAACAAGCAACCAAAAAGTTTCACGTTGCACCTCCAGTCAGTCAATAGTAGCTGAAGTTTTTAAACGGTTTTGCTGCCAGGACACAACACTGAACCCCCGCTCTGGCCCTTGTACCTGCGCGTCCTCGTAGCTGTAGCGTCCGGGGTCTTTCAGGTTGTGGCTGGTGCGTTCGTAGCTGTGGGAGTCCAGGTTGATGGAGCTGGGGGCCCCTTCGGCTAAAAACTCAGCCCAGATGTCCTGCGCTCTCTGGGCCACGTCCTGCTGGGGCTGCCTCTTCAGATCCTGCACGGCGAGCCAGAACCTGCAGCACACGAGCAGGGGAACGTTAGAGGAAACACAGCATTAACCTGAGTCCATGGGGATTTGTCTTTTTGGGCTGATACTGATTCATCCAACAAAACAGGGCTCAATATTTCAAAATTTAAGACATTAAGACACAAATTGTAAATCCCTTAAAGCAGATTTTCCCAAAGAATCCCCTATCGATGCAAAGATCACACAGCTCCCCAAACAATAACTGACATAAATGTGATATAATTTCAAAGTGTCATCATTTAATAAAATATGGAATAAAATATGGAATGCTTTCTTCCTTAGATTTTGATGTTAAACAATATATAATTCTGTCTGTAGGCTTAATACTAATCTCAATCAATGCATTTAAATCAATCTTTTATGTAAGGTTGATTTCAAACTTCATTTTATGAGCAACTTCAGGAACTACTTCCTTAAAGGCTTAAAAACGAGTAATGAGCCTAAACCTTTTTGGTGGTACTACTGGTACTACTGGTACTACTGGTACTACTGGTACTACTGGTACTACTGGTACTCCTATTCCTCCTCCTCCTCCTATTCCTCCTCCTATTCCTCCTCCTCCTCCTCCTATTCCTCCTCCTCCTCCTCCTCCTCCTCCTCCTCCTCCTCCTCTCCTCCTCCTCCTACTCCTCCTCCTCCTCCTACTCCTCCTCCTCCTCCTCCTCCTACTCCTCCTCCTCCTCCTCCTCCTCCTCCTCCTCCTCCTACTCCTCCTCCTCCTCCTCTCTCCTCCTCCTCCTCCTCCTCCTCCTCCTCCTCTCCTCCTCCTCCTCCTCCTCCTCCTCCTCCTCCTATTCCTCCTCCTCCTATTCCTCCTCCTCCTCCTCCTTCCTCCTCCTTCCTCCTCCTACTCCTACTCCTCCTACTCCTATTCCTACTCCTCCTCCTCCTCCTATTCCTCCTCCCTCCTATTCCTCCTCCTATTCCTCCTCTCCTCCTCCTCTCCTCCTCTCCTCCTCTCTTCCTACTCCTCCTCTTCCTCTTCCTCCTCCTCCTCTTCCTACTCTCCTCCTCTCTTCCTACTTCCTCCTCTTCCTACTCCTCCTCCTCTTCCTCCTCCTCCTCTTCCTACTCCTCCTCCTCTTCCTCTCTCCTCTTCCTACTCCTCCTCTCTTCTCCTCCTCTCCTACTCCTCCTCCTCCTCTCTCCTCTTCCTCTCTCCTCCTCCTCCTCCTCTTCCTCCTCCTCCTCTTCCTCCTCCTCCTATTCCTCCTCCTCCTCCTCTTCCTCCTGTTCCTACTCCTCCTCCTATTCCTCCTCCTATTCCTCCTCCTATTCCTCCTCCTATTCCTCCTACTCCTCCTCCTCCTCCTCCTCAGCCAACTTTCTGAATACTTTCCGAGCATCCTTACCATTCACAGTATTGAGTTTATAAGCAGTTTTCACAACTTTCAGAGGCTAGAGCAGAGTTTTGCTGTCACACTAATGCCAAAAACTACTGGCATCCAGAGCTTCCTGGTTTGCAGACAATAAAACTGCTTTATAATCAGATACAGACAGCACACAGAGGTCTCATTTTGATCCTGTCGCACACTGCAGGAGAATTTGCCCGATTTTGGCTGTGATTTGCTTCTCCCCTAGTTTGGAGAAGTGTGACCCAACTTTGTGTCTTCGTGTGTGATTTTAAAGCCGCTGTGCTCCTCGTGTGTGTGGTGTCAGTGTGACCTTGAGCTGCACTGTCAGATTGAACCACTAAACATCAGCAACTCTACAGTAACAGCCAATAAAATAAAGCGTCTGGGGCACAAGGTACAAACTCAGGACATAGCAAAAATAATGAGAAGACACTGGGGTAGGACACTAAGTTTTTAATCTTCATCCTACTCCTTCTGAGCACCAGGTCCCAAATATGTTCATGTACATATCCCTGTTTTTGTTGCACTTGGCTCAAACAAATAAATAAAATGAAAAAATGAAAATGACTATCACTCACCTCTCAAAAAGATATAAATTTAAACTGCAGGATCTCATCCATATTATCCACAGAGTTTGTCTTCTGCAAATAATGACACTCAGTCCACAAAACCGCACATTTACTCCAGTATGAGGCGTTCTTTAAAAGTAAAAAGGCCAGAGTAGTTCCTCAGGTGTGTGTTTACGTCAGGGGTGCTCACACTTTTTCAGCATGCAAGCTACTTACAAAATGACCAAGTCAAAATGATCTACCTAATACAAAGCCAAGCAAACTGCACTGAAACACTCTGTGCCCCTTTTTTGGAGACTCCCCCACAGTTTGAGAACCTCTTCTTTAAGAGAACTTCCTCTGGCACTTTACACAAAACTGTGAAAAAAGTGAAGGAAGTAGGTAAGATTTTTAAACCTGTTTTTAAAAACAGGAGTTACATTCTTTTCTGGTTTTGCAGTGATATTTACCAGCCTCTGCACGTTTACCAAACCAAACGCACATCGTGACAAACATAGATGCATTTGTGCACTTTTGTTAGACAAACTTCAGCCAAATGTGGCAGTAGGTCTGTTCTGTAGATCTGCTCTATGCTTTAGACCTGCTTTGTTCCAACACTGTAACACAAATTTAGACTCTTTTTTGCTTCACGTTTGGTCTTGCTCTTCTAATCAACGCGCACTGTGGGAGGGGCTTGTGTTCGCTGTACGCAGGAAGGAGCGAGAGCGTGAAAAGGCGAGGGGCGGCCTGCTGACGTGAGGCAGATGAACAGGTAGGATGTTTAGGAAGTTGAACCTGCCCTGTGATGCACGCTGGTACACGAGGGCACACGCTGTCGCAGACAAGCCGTTCATAGGGAGCGTGTGTGTTTGTGATGTGCCGTGGAGTCTCCGCGGGTTTCAAATGAGCGCACAGGCTGCACTGAGACAACTACAAGTTTATTACCAACAGCAGCGGCCGTAATGAAATATGATCGCACTTGTTGAGTGTCAGACCTGGAGTGAGAGACAAGACCAAGTTCAAACACGAGTCCGAGACGAGACACGGCGATCTACCCACACGACCTTGGCAATCGACTGGTAGATCTCAATTGACATATTGGGCACCCCTGGTTTACGTCCACACAGCGCACATATCGAGGTGAAGCTGCAGATTAGTGATGTGAGACTACTTCCTGTGGACTTGATCAATCTTTTATGCTTTAAAAATCATGTATCTGAAGTATTGCACCACATTTCACAAATAATAATAACACAGATTTGTCTTGTATCTAAACTAAAAGTGCAGAGCTCTGATCTTTTGAACACTTAAGAGTCTGATAGCGAGTGGTTTTACTGTAAACAGAAAACACCAGACAACTTTATATCCTGTGGTTTGCAGACACATCCCGCTGCAGTCTTTGTGATCGGAGATTTTAAGTCTCATAAAATTCTCCTCGTGTTTTTTGTTAAACGTTTAAAAATTGACCGAAAAATCCTGTAGTGTGTTGCGGCTTTAAGAGCTGCTTATACAATATATCTGTATGGGGAAAACGAATTTTGCGTAACTATATTGACAAACTTCTGCTAACTGATCTTGGCACTAATAAAAATAGTACTGTTTAATTGTGGATTTTCCTATTTGATACTTCCTATGAAAATACTATAGGACAATATCAGTAAACATAATCGTGGCTCCTGCTCCTGATCTGAGACAATAACTTCATCCAAATGTGGAAAACAAACATCGGTGTCAAATCATTACAGAATAAGATATTTTAGTTGAAATAAGCGCACATTTGTAGTACCTTTTTCTCCCTTTTTTTTTTTGCTAAAGCTGGATGATTGACAGGTCGTACTGCAAATATACTGAGCCAGACTGAAAGGCTCGGAGAGTGAGACTGGACAAATCGATCAGAATTTTAAAACATCCTGTGGCCCATCTCCAAAACATTTCACAGAATATTGTTGGAAAAAAATACACTTTTTTGGACGTCGAGCAAGTATTGAATTAAACCACACACAGCACTTTTGAAACTCTTTTATATAAGACCAACTTTATTCTACATCCTGCTCGTTATCAGTGGCGGAGTTAACAATTCGGGGGCCCTAGGGGAACTTGAGTATGGGGCCCTCACTATAATGCACTGTTTTATTTTGTTTTGTTTTGTTTCTGTCTGTTTTTTCCCATGGTTTTTGAGACACGCACATCTTTATTATTTATTTATTTTTTATTTTATGGTGGATTGGAAACTTGTCTTATTAGTTCGGTCGCCTACTAGATGACCAGAGCTGAAAGTAGTTTTATATTTTTTGCTAGTACAATTACATTTTTGTTTACATCCATTACATATGATTATAATTATGCTATGATATGTCCATTCTAACGTGAAAGGGGGGGATGCTTTGACAGTTAAAATAGATTTAGCAATCAGATACCATTTAGATTTTTACTATTATTTATTTATTTATTTTTTTTAAGTAAACTACTCTCATTTTATGTCATAATGAGGGAAATTGCTCTGAGGCCTCAGCCATTAGTGGTAATGGCAAGGACTATTGTCTGGGGGCCCCTCCAGGTTCAGGGGCCCCAAGCGGCTGCCTACTTTTGCCTAATGGTAGCACCACCTCTGCTCATTATTACACTTAAGAAACTCACTACGGTCTGAAATCTCCTTATTGTGAGACAAAAAGAGTTAATTGTCTTATTTTATTTTTACTTTTTTCTTGTTTTTTCTTGTTTTAAGATGAATATTACGATTTAAAATGTCCAGATTATAACATGATGATCCACGGATGTCATAGGTTATAACAATACAGCAGACACAAGCAAAATAGTTCTTCTTTAATAGTAATACTTGAACTATTGTGTTGTCCAGTCATTCTCTCATACCAAGGTAAACTATACGCTAGTGGTGTAACGATATCCAAGTCTCACGATACAATATCTTCCCGGTATGAACCTCACGGTACGATATTTATTGCGATATCGTGGGAAAGGTCATGATATGGTGGGGAGGCTCACAATTAGGGATGTAGCAATCCAATTCTCTCGGTACAATATTTATTGAGATATTTTGTGGAGGCTAACGATACTGTTAATATGCAACTTTTTCCTCTTAAAATGCCTTGACAAGACTTAATCCAAATAATTAAGACTTAAAAGTGTTTAGAACTGTTATTTCTTCATGTAGTCTACACTGCAAAGGATCATGGTCTATGTAGTTCCCTCTGTCTTTTTTTTAGCTATTGTTGCACAATAACTCTTACTTAAGAACATTACAAAAATTGGTTTTATCACCTAAAAAACATAACCAGAGACCGCCCCATTCTCTCTCGGGCCAACACAGAGACGCTGATGTATGCTTTTATCACCAGTTGAATAGACTACTGTAACGCCCTGCTCTCTGGTCTTCCCAAAAAGAGTATTTCAGATTTGCAATTATTACAAAATTCTGCAGCACATGTCCTGACGAGGAACAGAGGCCGGGACCACATTACACTGGTTTTAAAATCACTGCATTGGCTCCCTGTGAATTTCAGGATCGATTGGAAATGTGGAATGGTTTTTAATCATAATAAAGCACTTTGTGTTATATTTTTGTATGAAAAGCGCTTTATAAATAAAGTTTGATTGATTGATTGATTGAATTTAAGCAAAGAGATTTTAATTTGATATATTGTGATGGTCCACGATACTATTGCGACAACTTTGACGATACAATATCACGATATTTCAGTTATTGTTACATCCCTACTCTACACACAAAACTAAGACAAAACACGTCAATGTCAGTAACTACAAAGCCTCAGTTAGGAAGGAGGATGTAAGAGAGTGGCCTAGGGGGCAAGATAAGGACACTCCACGGTCCTCGCTCCCTCCTCCGTGCTTTTGGACGCAGCCCGAGCCTATTAACCTCAAAGTAACTGCATGGATGTCTGTTTGAAGGATAGCTTTAATATAGGAGCAACACTTATCAAACCGCTAATACTTATCGCTGTTATTTCTGCTAGCTGGGGGGCACGCGACGATAAGCATCAAAGCTACGTCGCTATAGATAGAGCTTTGTAATATGAAGGTAACACTGAGGGCAGCTACATATGCTAGGCTCGTCTGTATTCAGCGCACGTAGCCAGGAACTACTTTCTTTTTATCTGATGCCCCACCATAGCGCATTTGTAAATACGTTGTACAATTTGGAGGGTGTAATTTTGGGGAGGTGCGCATTTATCGCGCGAAGAGAGAGATTTTTGGAAGTGAAAAGATGATTGGGGTGTCTCGCCTGCAGACATGTCTAAATCAGCTTTTTGGAACGTGTCTGCGCGCAAGATACAGCGAGATTATAAGTGCTTGGTTGATAAAAAGTGCAAAATTGTCATCCAGGTTTAAGACTCTTATCCCTACAACTGTACAACAACTCACCCTTATGTAACAGATAATACTCCCTACAACTGTACAACAAACTCACCCTTATGTAACAGATAATACTCCCTACAACTGTACAACAACTCACCCTTATGTAACAGATAATACTCCCTACAACTGTACAACAACTCACCTTATGTAACAGATAATACTCCCTACAACTGTACAACAACTCACCCTTATGTAACAGATAATACTCCCTACAACTGTACAACAACTCACCCTTATGTAACAGATAATACTCCCTACAACTGTACAACAACTCACCCTTATGTAACAGATAATACTCCCTACAACTGTACAACAACTCACCCTTATGTAACAGATAATACTCCCTACAAACTGTACAACAACTCACCCGTATGTAACAGATAATACTCCCTACAACTGTACAACAACTCACCCTTATGTAACAGATAATACTCCCTACAACTGTACAACAACTCACCCTTATGTAACAGATAATACTCCCTACAACTGTACAACAACTCACCCTTATGTAACAGATAATACTCCCTACAACTGTACAACAACTCACCCTTATGTAACAGATAATACTCCCTACAACTGTACAACAACTCACCCTTATGTAACAGATAATACTCCCTACAACTGTACAACAACTCACCCTTATGTAACAGATAATACTCCCTACAACTGTACAACAACTCACCCTTATATGTAACAGATAATACTCCCTACAACTGTACAACAACTCACCCTTATGTAACAGATAATACTCCCTACAACTGTACAACAAACTCACCCTTATGTAACAGATAATACTCCCTACAACTGTACAACAACTCACCTTATGTAACAGATAATACTCCCTACAACTGTACAACAACTCACCCTTATGTAACAGATAATACTCCCTACAACTGTACAACAACTCACCCTTATGTAACAGATAATACTCCCTACAACTGTACAACAACTCACCCTTATGTAACAGATAATTACTCCCTACAACTGTACAACAACTCACCCTTATGTAACAGATAATACTCCCTACAACTGTACAACAACTCACCCTTATGTAACAGATAATACTCCCTACAACTGTACAACAACTCACCCTTATGTAACAGATAATACTCCCTACAACTGTATCACTCAACAGAATGAATTTATCTGATTTTCTTTTTGCTCTTGCTGGCATTTGTTGGATGGTTGCTTTTTTGGTATCTGTGTTGATCATCTGGAATCTGTTATCTTTCTGGGATCAGTTCTGGTTCAGTTCTGGTCTCAGTCCTGGTCTGGTCCCGGTTTCAGTCTTGGTCTCAGTCCTGATCACCCAACAGTCTACGCGGGCACACCTCTGGACCCATTCCGACACTCAGTCCTGGTTCAGTCCTGGTTCAGTCCTGGTTCAGTCCTGGTTCAGTCCTGGTTCAGTCCTGGTTCAGTCCTGGTTCAGTCTGGCATTGCAGTGTCAAAAAAATAAATCAAAATCAAAAACGGGGAAAAAAAACGAATAAGTTTCCATTTTTTCATTTTAGTTTTGGAGACAAATAATGAAGAAAATAGCCATTTTTTCATTTTCTTATTTTTGTTTTTAACTTGAAAAATGAATGAAGGAATGACACACAAATTCTTACGTCTTGTCAGTTTTCATACGTCTCTGGATCGGCGCTCACAGTGTGTATTTTTTTTTTAGAGAACATGTCCTTAAGTCTCACCCCAGAAGTCATAGAGAAAATGCCTCTTCAATTTTAGATGTTATCCTCTCAGAAACCGCCCCATGATTTATTTACACCGAAGAGCTTACCGCAGATTCTCCGAGCTAAACTCCGACTCGAGGAAGCGCAGGAAGAGGTCTTGCCCCAGCGGGTCCTTGAGGGCCTCCTCCAGAGAAAAGCCCCACTTCTTCACTCTCTGCTGACTGGGCTCCTTACTGCCAAATAAAACACGCACGGTTAGGTAACATCCACACCAAATGAAATCAATATGTTAATTATAACGCGCCGGCAAGCACATGATTACATTTTCTGTTTAAAGGCGCTGTACCTGATTTTGACTGTCTGGTCCAAATTCTGAGCATCGTAATTATTCACCAAAATGAGTTCTTCTCCTTTTCACAACTCTTTTTTGCAATGACTATAAAAATAACAACAACTAGCATGCCAACGTCCCGATTATTGGACAAAAAAGTGCTTCCTGATTAGATTCAGACAGAACACCGAAGATTTATTTTGACCTCAAGAGCTGACAAATTTTGCTCAAATACATGGGGAAAAATCTGGTACAGGAAATTTGAAGAACAGTTTTGAAAAATTTAGGGTGACCAGATATTTTTACCCAGGACGGTCCCAGTTTTGAGTCCTGTGTCCCCTGTCCCAGCAGATTTATCCAAAACCAGTGATTTGTCCCAGTTTTATACAAGAAAATTCCCAGGTGTCCCTATTTTTGACAAATTCAGTCTAAACCAGCACTAAACCAGGACTACATCAGGACTAAACCAGGACTACATCAGGACTACATCAGGACTACATCAGGACTACACCAGGACTAAACCAGGACTACATCAGGACTACATCAGGACTACATCAGGACTAAACCAGGACTCCATCAGGACTAAACCAGGACTCCATCAGGACTACATCAGGACTAAACCAGGACTCCATCAGGACTAAACCAGGACTACATCAGGACTAAACCAGGACTACACCAGGACTACACCAGGACTACACCAGGACTACACCAGGACTACATCAGGACTAAACCAGGACTCCATCAGGACTAAACCAGGACTAAACCAGGACTAAACCAGGACTAAACCAGGACTACACCAGGACTACACCAGGACTACACCAGGACTACACCAGGACTACACTCGGACTCCAGGACTACACCAGGACTACACCAGGACTACATCAGGACTAAACCAGGACTACATCAGGACTAAACTAGGACTACATCAGGATTAAACCAGGACTACATCAGGACTACACCAGGACTACACCAGGACTACACCAGGACTAAACCAGGACTAAACCAGGACTATCACAATTTTTGACTAATCTGATCTCCGCCAACAGTGACAAGGAGCATAAATTGTCATTTGTTTTTGCCAAAATACAAAAAAACATGTTTGAAAATGACAACAAAGCAAAAAAAAAAAAAATGCAGCATCAGAAGTCCCTCAGATTATGACTGACAGGAAAATGCACAATGTTTCTCTCTCTTTTCACAGTTTTATTTATACCAAACATCCCAACCCGGGTGTGTGCCAGTTTTGAATTTTGAAAATCTGGTCACCCTAGAACAAATCTAAAAGTCAAATGTACCAATTATGAACAGGTTTGAGTGACATATAGATTTAATTCTGTCCCTGTTTCTACATCTTGTCACTGGTCTTGTTGTTGTCAGCCAGTCACAGCCTGTTACCTTTGCATCTTCAGCTAATGACAGGGTGACCAGACGTTCCTGTTTACCCGGGACAGTCCCAGTTTTGAGCCCTGTGTCCCCTGTCCCAGCAGATTTATACAAAACCAGTGAATTGTCCCAGTTTTATACAAGAAATGTCCCAGGTGTCCCTATTTTTGACTGATCTGATCCCTGCCAACAGTAATAAGGAGCATAAATTGTCATTTGTTTTGCCAAAATACAGAAAACAGGGTTCGAAAATGACAATAAAGCAAAAAATGCAGCGTCAGAAGTCCTTCAGATTATGACTGACATGAAAATGCACAATGTTACTCGCTCTTTTGACAATTTTATTTATACCAAACATCTCAACCCAGGTGTGTCCCAGTTTAGAATTTTGAAAATCTGGTCACCCTAGAAGAAATCTAAAAGTCAAATGTACCAATTATGAATAGGTTTGAGTGACATATAGATTTAATTTTGTCCCTGTTTCTATCTTTTGTCTATTGTCTTGTTTGTTGCAGCCTGCTCCCTTTGTATCTTAAGCTAATGAAGTCTAGTATAGTACAAGTAGAAAATTAACTAAATACTAAATAAAACTAACTAAATTGCCTTTATTAACGTTGTTTTATTTAGCATGTTTACTCATTTTTACCACTTTAGTACTTTTGAAGAAATTAGAAACATATTAATGTCATGAGTTGGTGCCCTCAAGGCACTTTCACGAAAACATTTCGTCTCTCAAATTGTCATCATTGCTTGCAAACTGCGAGCAAAAATGTTACATTTTTAACTTCAGCCCAATATCTATATATTGGGCTATTATTTCACATTCATAGATAATTTTAAAGGTGCATGATTGTAATATTTCTTGCAGTGGATCCACCATCTGATTGCCTTGTTTCCTCGTATTGTTTCTTTATATTTTTTATATTTTTTACTCTGTTATTGTAATATAATATTATATAAGTGTGTGTGTGTGTGTGTGATGAGTGAGCTACTGTGTTTCCACAAAAAACTTGCTTTGTTAGTTTGAGCAGGGTTATCTCTCCACAGATCTGACCTGTAACTGATGGTGTCCCATGTTTGCTCCCACAGAGAAAGTCAAACCTAATGCCACACTGTTGAACACTGAAGACAAACCAATAACATCTCCACGGAGACGAGCAGGCGGCTGACACTCCTCTAGAAAAGTTACACAGTAAGACTTTGTACATCAAGTGACAAAGTGTCAAAAAGTATTTCAAAAAGCCTGAATAATGCACGACGGAGGGCCTTAAAACAAGTGTAAAAAGTTATTTATAAACTGTCAAAAACTCCACCGACTCCATTCAAGGTTACAGCACATCACTCCGCAGAGAGTTACAGCTGTACATGCTCAGAATGTTGAATGTTGATCGCCGTACGCCAACGCTGACGTGAAATCCAATTGTCTGTGGCCCTGTGGGAAATATTAGCCTGAAATCCATCTATTAATCAGTTCATCGGAGTTATCAGGTTACATTAGCGTGGTGAGAATGTGTCGGCCAAAGCTAATTCTTCCATAAGTCACACGGAGGGAGGTGGGAGCTAATGCCATTGTCGACTCATAATTATTAGAACAAAGAGGATCAATACGGCGCTGCCCGAAATGAGACACGAGGCAACAACATCAAGAAGAGGTCAGGTATCAAGTGTGCAGGGATTTGAAGGTTTGCAGAGGGATTAAGCAGGATGCCCTTCCGTAAACACGTTATCCAGGACTGAGACTGACACAATAAGTACATTTTCTAGTCATTTGTCAAGTTAGTTTTTGACTTATTCAAAGCTAAACATATAAATGGATAACAATAAGTGCAATTTATATTTCAATATAGCTGTGATTAGGGCTCGATCGATATATCGGTTTGTCAATATTATCGGCTGATATGGGCACTTGGAGACATTGGCCTAAATCAGGGGTGTCAAACTCAAATTCACAGAGGGCCAAAGTTAAAAACTGGGACTAAGTCGTGGGCCAAACTAAATATTTATTGCAAAATTTCAGCAAGATCTGCATGTTTTCTCTTCTTTTGATATGTAATTTTAAACCTTTTCTTATTCAAATACATGTTTAATAATAGTTTTGCTTAAACATTGAATACAGAAAAAGCATAATATAACATAATAACAACATTTTAAATAAATAATGTCTCTATAGCCGGTGGGCCAGCTCCAATATATATTTGATATGATCTCGTGGGCCAAATATAATTATATCGTGGGCCAAATTTGGTCCTTGGGCCTGACTTTAACATGTCTGGACTAAATCTCGCTGATATGGGCCGATAGTCCACATGGGCATGTTATACCTCCTCATAAATCTTAGATTCTCTATATTATGTCAATTTAATCCAATTTAGAGACAGATGAATGTTCTAATATGTGGCGTCGCATCAATATTTATCAGTAGGAGTCATTTGTCTGTGTCTGTGATGCCGTACTGCCCCTGAATGCATCCCCAGAGTCACATCACTCACGTAGGCTTGTTTACACTCACAGCTGCTGTCAACATGCTGGATTATATTATATTTACAGATGATCTTTTTGAGTCAGGATTGAAAGGACTCTTATTAGTGAAGACTTGAGGTGTCTGTGTGAGCGCTGAGTGTTGCAAATGTGTCGGTTTTGAAGCTACTTTTGGTTCTTTCTCATTAGATGGCTGCTGTAGCTCCCACACATAAACAGGCTGTTTTCTCTGACATTGGCCGACAGTAAAGTGACTATAATAGAGGCTGTATACATGTTTTTGAACCTGCATTGATATGTAAATTAGCTGTGAATCAAAGTGCAAATGATCAGCATGTACGTATAATTAATTACAACAGCATTCGTGCATTTACCTTTCTTTCTTTACTGGATAGAATGTGATGCAAATAATGCCTTTAGGCCGATTTACGGTCTTTAAATATGACTGTAAAGAGGCAGAATAACAATAAATGTAGTTTAACAAACACAATTTAAAATTCAATAGAACCAGACCTAAGTTTTATAATTAACTGAAGACTTAAAGGTTGTATGGAGGATTTTTTTTTGTTTGTTTTTGTTTCAAGTTGTCAATGATAGCATTATAGAGATGCAGTAGCCTTGTAATTATGATGACCAAAAAAAAGAGAATAAAAATTCATCAACTCTGGACGTGGTGGGGCTAAACATTTGCCAATAGATAACGACACTGCCTCGTTATCTGTTAGCTGACAGGCTGTCAATCAATCTCCCTAAGTTTCTAGCGTAACTGACTTGCCTGCGCCGCCGGTACGTGGTTTACGTACGCCTGTCACGCAGACGCAAGCCGCACAGACGCTGTTTACTCCACCAACGCAACAGTTCTTAGCGGCTTTTTTTGACCTATATCTTCCTCGCAGTTAGCACAAAGTTTGTTGCAATGGCGACAAGAATCCAGGAGCAGTTAGCCGCAAAAGAAAGTCCGTTTTTGAGGTCGCTGAAAGAAGAAGACAAGGGGAAAAGCAGCGAAGCCAAACTAAGGTGATTCTTGTAGATTCATTCCAGCGATGGCGCAACTGAAGCAGACGCATTGGTCGCCAAATTACTCCTGGACAGGTCACTTCTGCTTATTATGAAAACGTACTTTATTTCCAAGAGCTAGACAAACGTTTTTCAGGACACGAAAGCGATATCCTATGTCTGAAAACGTAATTTTCAAGGCAAAGAAAGAGTCCGCTTGCTGCTGCGTGTTGTAGCTAGTTCATTCGCACGGAATCTCCGCGCAACCTTCTCTGCACCCCTTTCCTGTCCCCGCTGCCCGATCCGCTCTTTCCCCTGCTCCTCAGTTCTCCGGGCACGGAATCTCCGCGCACCGCTCCCCTCTCCTCTCTCTCCTCTCCCTCTCCCTCCCCTGCTCCGCTCTTCTCCCTGCTCCTCACTTCTCGTCCATGAACGAAATGTCCGCACACCCGCTCCCCCCGCTCCTCACTTCTCCACCTTGCCTAACCAACACTGTAGTTAGTTGTTTACAAGTCATGTGCAGCACCGGCTGTAAACAAACCTGTTTCTGGCGTAAAGAGGAGGCGGGAGGAGGCGTTTCTACGTAGGAGCTGTAGGGGAGGGGGGGTGGTTTCACGCATGCGCAACATTTGAAAAAGGACAAACAGTCGCTGGATTTCTCGTTCCTTGGAAAATCCTCTATACAACCTTCAAAGTGAATTTTTACATCACTAAATATATCGACTTTTATATCGGCTATTGGCACTTCCAGCTTCTGCTTTATCGATTTCATATCAGTCAAGCCCTAGTTGTGATATTAAAGCTACATTAGGTAACTTTTCTGTCCCGTTCCTGCTTGTCTCCATGGAGATGTTATTGCCAAGCCCATGGTATTTAAGCTATCTATTTCCATGGAAACAAGCAGCTGACAGCAGCATAAATTACAGGTCAGATCTGTGGAGATGTGACCACATTCAAAGTAAAAATGAATGTATGTTTTTTAATGTAATATAAATCCTGCAATTGAAATATCCAAGATAGAGAAGTTTAAGGCTGTGGACCAATACAGATAAAACAATAACATCTCCATGGAAACAGATCCCTCACCAGAAAAGTTACACATTGCTACACACTGAGCTTTGTAATGTAAAAAACAATACAACAATAATAAAAAAGTAACAACATTTTTGGCCCAACAGTAGTGTGTGTAGATGTGTGTGTGTGTGTGTGTGTTTACCTCGCCTCCAGGTCCCAGTAGGAGGGGTCATCACTGATCCAGGGGTTGGAGGGGTCAGGGGTCACGATGAAGGGGTCATACTCCAGGTACTGCTCTGAGTAGCTCATCAGACTACGGAGGAACAACAAAAATACAGTTAGGTTACACTCTGGAGTTGAGGTAAGTTCAATATTTTACTGTAAAAACTAAAACGCATACCAATAAAATCTGTCAGTTTGTATTGTTATTGTATTTTGTATCAAATTAGGGCTAAAAATAAATATCTGATTGCAATTTTTTTGACAAGATTTAGGATTTATATGTTAGTAATATGATTCTGTTCAAGGTTCACATTTCAAACAAGTCCAAAAGAATTGACAAAAAGACTGAAGTACGAACTGACAAACCAAAACAAGAATCACATGACAGGTCTAAACTACAGTGTTAGCAGTTTATATGCAGAATAACACTGAATATTTTGTTTGTGAAGGAAATTATAGTTCTTCAAAAACTGCAGTCTTTGCGGTTTGGTAATTATGTCCATTCAAATTGTGATTTTGATTCATCTCACTGAGTTAGGGGGGGATGGAGCGTGAGATTGACAGGCGGATCAGTGCAGGGATGGCAGTGATTCGGTCATTGTTTCAGAGCTTTGTGGTGAAGAGGGAGCTGAGCTGAAAGGCAAAGCTCTCGATTTAACGCTCAATCTACATTCCTCCCCTCACCTTTGGTCATGAGCCTTGGGTAATGACCGAAATGACAAGATCATGGATACAAGCGATCGAAAAGAGTTTCCTCCACAGGGTGGCTGGGCGCTCCCTTAGAGACAGGGTGAGGAGCTCAAGCCACACAGGAGGAGCTCGGAGTAGAGCTACTGCTCCTCCACGTCGAGAGGAGCAGCTGAGGTGACTCGGGCATCTGTTCCGAATGCCTCCTGGGCGCCTCTCGAGAGGTGTTCTGAGCTTGTCCCACGGAAGGAGGCCCCAGGCAAGACTCAGGACACGCTGGAGGGACTATGTCTCTCTCGGCTGGCCTGGGAATGCCTTGGGGTCCGGAGGAAGTGTCCGGAGGAAGTGTCCGGAGTGAAGGAAGTCTGGGAGTCCCTGCTTAGACTGCTGCCCCCGTGACCCAGCCCCGAATAAGCGGAAGAAAATGGATGGATGGATTCATCCCACAGCCCTGAATGAACTCATGTAGCCTACCTTTCGGCGACTTTGGACATCTTCATACAGTGTCGGTCAAGTTGTGTGTTGAGGAACTGAATCTGTAAAAGAGAGACAGTAGTGGACATGGTGGACTCTGCACTGGGAGAAGAGCTACACTTAGACATGGACTTAGTAAAGCTAAAATCAGGGCAAATGAATATTCTACACCTCAATATATCTCCAGCTGGGGTATATGAGGTCTAAATGAGTGCTTATAAGTGGATTTAGCACGTGTGCATGTGTGTGATATCAGCCTTACCTCCTTCTCCACGTCCTCCTTGGTCCCCTTGCGGCTCTGGTGGGAGGGTGTGTGGATCGGGCTCTGGGACTGGGGACCCTCTTCAGATAAACCGTACACAGACTGGAAATTTAAAAAGATACAAAAGATTTACACATTTTTATCATATCAGTATAAATGTTGCATAATTTAGAAAAAAAAAATACAGTTCCAGATGTATTACAAGGCCCCTGAGCCATTGTTTTTTGGCTTATGGGTTAAACGTAGCCCTCAGACCAGTTATTGTTGGCCTCAGGTTTAAAGTTGACCTGAATTACTGCCAACTGTACTTTTTAATGCAAAGATTTCTACTTTAATAACCCATTAGTGTGTCCTATTGGGGTTTTAAGCCTGAATAAAGATGTCAAAAGCTTTCAGAGGCAAGTTGATGCAGCTTATATTCAGGTGCATTCAATAGTTTGGAAATTACTTAGCTAGATAGACAGACAGATAAATAAATTAATATGTTGTATCAAAATAGAAATGATAGTGCCTAGCTTGGTCAACAGATAATTTGTATCATCTCAACATTTTTCTCAACATTTTTCTAGTAGACAGCACAATGATCCTTGAAAGCTCCCTTATTATTGTTACTAGATTGGACCAACACGCACTCATTACTCACCTTTTTGACTCTATGTGGATTCTTAAGTCTTCTGCACTTCCTGATGTCCATTTCTGTCGTGTTCACACAGCCAGGCTACAGTATAAATACACACAAAAAACATAATTATAATAAAACAAAGCGTAGGATAGTTTAGCCTTGGTCTTTCAGCTCAATTGCTCTTCTCTTACCACTGGTCTGTGCACGTCCCAGAAAGCTCTCTCTTGGCTGTCCAGGATTTTTCTCTCCGTTTTGTCCTTCTTGCGGTCGATCCTGTACATTACACAGGTTATATACACACAGCACAACACAGCCTTGTCCATTTACTTCAGTCACTTTTTAAAGAAATTGTACCTCTCCAGGTTTTGGACTGCATACTTTTACTCCAACTTGAGTTAGATCTATGATTTATTTATAATAATTTAGGTTTACTTGGAGATTCACTGTGTTAGGAAATAAATACCGTATTTTCCGCACTTTTAGGTGCTCTGGATTATAAGACGCACTGTCATTGAATGGTCTATTTTCAAACTTTTTTCACAAATAAACTGCACCAGACATTAAATGAAACACAACAGTTGGATGGGTCATTCGGACTTTGTTTGGCGCGTTCACAGTGACTCTGGGCTTTGTTCATTTGTGGTGTGTAGGGAGGGTGCTGTCTGGGACCGCCTGATTGTTTGGTGTGTTCGCAGTGACTCAGTTGTTCAGTCGTGTCTAGAAGTGGCACATAGCACTTGCTTTTTCGGTTCGTTCCTCCATTCCGTTCCTTGTCCGCGTGGAGTGATGAGTGTGGCTGTAGGTGTTTCTCCCTGTGCGGTCGCTGTCTGCTCCATGTGTGTTTGCGTGCGCTGCAGGTGGTGTGGCTTTATAGTTTACTGAAGTCGTGCTGGGACACCTGAGTGGATTCGTGTATAGGGCGCTCTGGATTGTGGGGCGCGCAGTCATTTTTTGATGGGTTGGAGGCTTAAGGGAGCGTCTAATAGCCCGGAAAATACGGTATATACGTTCGGGTAACGATAATTGCTCATGGAGAGGAGCCCCAAGAAGTATAATTTTAGTTTTTAAAAAAAGTTCACCACCATACAACAATGAAATGAGCTTCTCCAGCACTTTGCTCCCAAAACCCTATCACTGTATTCTTCCAACTATCTCCTCATAAATCAGACTCTTCTCTCTTCACTGTGCAGCTGGAGCTCAGGACTTACTTGACCTGAGCCTCCGCCTGCATGTAGATGAACTCCCACTTTCTGGCAAACGCTCTCTGCAGTCGAGCCAGGTTCTCCTGAGACAAAAACACGTTTCATAAGTTTACATAAGATCTCCTCACAGTGCACAGTGACATTTAGAGCTCATCTCCAGGTGAGAGCTGAGCAGAGGAGAAAAAGCAGGGCTCACCGCCTCGTAGTCGGCCAGCTCCAGTCTGGTCTTGTTCTGCATGGTGCGCTTACACAGGTAGATGGCTGAAGGACACAAAGGAGAGAAGAGAGATTTAAGTGCACTTGGAAAATATCCACTAATCCTGAAATATACTACTTTATATATGAGCAAAGCTGTTGTGGAGTGTATATATATTTGCTAAGTCCAGATCTCTCAGTGTTTTTGTGGTCAGCTGTCCATGTGAAACAAAGGAGCTCATTGGTCACCCATCATTTTGAACAAAATTAAATTCCTCACACCTCAGATGAACAGAGTTTTGTGCTTTGCTCAATGATTCTGCAGAAATCAGCCATGATTTTCAGTACCCTGTGATATTTTCTTTTTTTTTGTCCATCTGAACTCAAGAACTCACATTATTCACAGTACTGAAGAAGTGAGTGTATATTCTAGATTCCAGGCAATGTTAATGTAGTAGATGTAGAAAATGCACAGGATGAAGGTGTATAAGTCTAACATCTTCATAATAAAAATATAATTACAGAATAAAATTAGTTATCAGAGAAAAAGATCACATTATATCTGTAATTTGTAACTAGTAATAAAGTCATCTTTGAAATGAAAACACAAGTGGCTTTTACGGCCGCTCTCCCTCTTCAGTCATAATTTAAAAGTTGTTCATTTTATGGAGTTTTACAAACAAACAAAATGCAAAATACTGGCACCAATTTTGCTCTAATGGGAGCACTGACTCTGATGCAGTGTTGCCTAATATGACCAAAAGTGGAAACTATTTGAAACTATTTAAATAAATACACTCTCTTCCCCTTCCTTCCTATTATTTCCGCCCCATGTTCATCACAGTAACAGCATGTAAATGACTGCTTAGATATCCCCTGGTACTATGTTGGTGCAGGAGTGTTAGAATAAATTCCACAGGAGGTGGCACTAATGTTATCAGACAAACGCGCACTTTCACACAGTAATTGCTTGAGGATGTGAGCAGTGCTTTGATTAGCCTGCACGCCTCTACAAGATAAAACGGAGAGATATTTTTACTTGAGCTGTTGAAGTTGTTGCACACAGTAGTAATGGTACTGCAAGCACTTGTATTACTATATTACTAAGGCTACGTTCAGACTGCAGGGCTTAATGCTCAATTCTGATTTTTTTGTGAAATCCGATGTTTTTGCGAGGTCGTTCACATTTCCAATTTAATGCGACTTGTATGTGATCTCCATTGTGAACATTAAACGGCCCAAAATTGTCCCGCATGATGCGCACTGGAGGACATGATTTTCCTCTCGTACCGGAGCCAGAACATGAACAACTTACTTGTTTAAAGGAGGAGATTGAGAAGGAGAAGGACGAGGTTTTTGGCCGTGGTGTTTTGTGGGGCAGCGGCAGCGACGTCCGTTGAAAGGAACGTGTGGATGTGGAGATGTAGCCAAGAGTGGTGAGTGGCGATGTGGTTCACTTCAGTGACACGGAGTTCATTAACAATTTTTGCCTACTTCAGCGCAGAATAGTGATGTTTGTGGCTTGTTGATAACGTGTAGGTCGGATGAATGCGCTTTGGCCGTTCAGACTGAAGTCGCATGTCAAAAGATCAGATATGTATCAGTTTTAGGAGCACATATCCAAGTGGCCTGGGTCACATTTGAAAAAATCGGATCTGTGTCGTTCAGACTGTCATTAAAAGATCAGATACAGGTCACATAGGGGCCAAAAAATTGGATTTGGGTCACTTCAGGCTGCAGTCTGTACGTAGCCTTAGATATACTATATTATTGTACTATATCTTTGTAGTGTCAGTACTAGAGCCACAACAGTAGTAGTATTAGTAACTGAAGGTAGTAAAGTGACAGTATGCAAGATCTGGGTTTGAAAATTTCATAAACTTAAATGTGTCCACAGATATGAGACAGACATGTTCAAATCTAATGTACCTTTTACTAATAACAATTCTAATGCTCGTTTGTCCTTAATTACAAAAACAATGGACATGATTTGCAAATTTCTTCGTTATAATTTGATGTTTTGGCTGTCAGGGCTGTTATCCAATTGGAAGGACTGAGTCTCATCTCATTTCTCATTTGTGTTGCCAGTTTCAATTCTGAAATCCAGTTAATTAAACCTAAAATCCCTCTCTCTGCTCTGTTTGGTCACTCCCTAAAGTTTGGAAGTTTAATCTAAAGTCTATTCATAAACTGAGAAATAGAAAAACTTGTATGTGTCCTTTATCTGCAGGTTACAGCTCTGGCAACACAGGTTCAGGTGTGATTACAGTTCTTTTTTAAGTCAGTAAGAGGCTACATACTGTTCCTTTAAAAGCACTTTTATTTCTACTTGAGCAATAATCTTTAGAACTAAGTCTATTTTAGAGTGATGACATAATCTTGACCCTTTCTATCTGTACAAAGTGTGCAGACTACATTACCGTCACATGTCATTCATTACAGACAGAGAGACGGAGAGAGAGGGGGGGGGGTTTGTGTTTTACCGTAGTCTGTGTTCTCGGGCTCCCAGCAGTGTGACGGCCAGAAGTACGGAGCCTGGAGCACAAGAGCAGGAGACAGTTACACAAGTGAATAAAAAGACTGTTCAGAAAATACATTCGCTGGTTGTTACGTGTTAGAAGGTTAAGGTTATGGTAGACGTAATTGCACCAAATCATAAAGTTTGTTCTCTGCATTTGATCCGTCCTTCAAAGCAGCTGGGACAAACTATTGTGCATGTTTTAGATTCATGCAAAAAAAAAAATCTATGAATAAAATGATTTAAAATTAACTTGTAATAACTGAAAATGAACAAATGTTGAATTGAATTAAATGGTCTAAATACACTGTAACTTGAGGCTGCTGGGAATGGTCCATGTTTATGTTATTGCTTTATCTGGAATGTTCCACAGTACGGCATTAAACTGATCTATCTCCAAGGACCAAGCTGAGCTACATATCAGATCTGTGGAAAGCTTTTCAAAGGATTTTAACCTTATGTTTTATGTATTTAATTATTTTTTGACAACAAGAACACTTTTAGTAATTGCAAGATTTAAACCTTTAATGTCATACTATGGAACATTCCAAAGCATTAACATCTCCATGGAGACAACCAGAGAAGTTACCCATATTTCAGCCTATTTTATAATGTTATAATGTTGTTTCCTCATCAAAATCAGACCTGGAGTTGTGTTTTGCTTCAGTCACACGTTTAACACACAAATCCTGCACATTTCGACTGAGTTCTTTCCTTAAACGGAAAACACTTGATAATTTCAGCTCTGGAATTGTCAATCTCTACTGAACAAAAGGTAAAAGGAAGCTGTTAACTTGAAAACTGCGGGAAACATTTTGAAAGCTCATTGCGGGCGTGGGTGAGAGCGGGACTGCACAATGCGGGAGCGGACAGGTGGGATGATAAACGGCAGTCCCGCAAACTAAATATGAGTGTACAGTAAAATACACAAATGCTTAATGTATGCCTATGATACATAATTTATGCTGGATATTTTATTTGGCATTAATAAAAACATTTTAAGCGGCCTGAACTTGCAGACGTGGTCTAATCTCACGCACATTTTAGACCATTTCTTTCCACTTCTCCACGTTTGATAGAGCTTAAGAAAGCGGGCAGGAGTGGAACAAAATATCGTAGATGCGGGAGGGAGCAAGAATGGAAAATTACAATTCTTTGCAGGTGCGGGCAAGCCTGATTCATCAGCCGGTTTCACTTTGGGGAAATTCGCTCACTCGACGGTAAGCGGGTACTTTTCATTTAACTGTTGCTATTTGGTTGAGACGTACAGTATGTAATGCGCCGGAACGCTCAGTGATGTAAGTAATTGCGGGCTTCTTTGAGTGGTCTACAACTTCCAAGGTTCTTGCAAACCATCTAGTGTGTTCCAATTCTTGACCTAGTCACTGGAGATAAATGAAATTGAGTGGAGGCACTAGGTGGCGCCAGCCTGGCTAGATGCGGGCGGCAGCGGGACTGGAAACTCTGTCCTACGCAGATCTCTAGTTTAAAGATATAGACAGACTAATAAATAAAGCGTTACTCAAACATGTAAATGAAACAAAACACAACTAGGAATATGTTTTTTAATGAGGTAACACATTCTAACATGGCTTAAAGCTCACAAGAGTCAATCTTAAAGAGAGATAATAAACAACAACAAGCTATTCTACGGTGTGGAAGAAAATTAAAGGGCATTTCGGGTCATTTTCAGTCTGCTTCTGCTTAGATCGAACCTACAAGAGCATTCAGTGAGAGAGTGGGGATGTGAACTCAGCAGTCACATTCTGATTTGCATGCATGCATATTCACACAGCTCTGTCTGCTTGAAGCGCCATCATAGAAATAGGTTTGGTGATCAGCTGATGCCGCACATATCCCATGATCCTTTGCTCCATTACAGTGCAGACTACATGAAAAATAATACAAATAATAATAATAATTTGTAAGCATGTTCAAATCTCAGGTCTTTGGTTTATGACAGAGCAAAAGTCTTGTCAAGGCATTTTTCTAAATTTAGTTAGCCTCTACAAAATATCGCAATAAATATCAAAAATACTGTATCGAGAAATTTGAATATGATTTTGGGCACCAGCAGGAGGCCGGTCCCTGAGCTCCTCAGAGTGCGAGATGGTTCATGTGGCACTAACATGTCACAGATGTAACTTGGTGCCATATAGAGACTTGTACACAGGCAGAGCTGCTTTAAAGTCTCTTCTCTGAGCCACAGGGGGCAGTGCAGAGACCTGAGCACAGGACTTATGTGCTCGTACTTCCTAGTTCAAGTCAGGACCTGAGCTGCAGCGTTCTGGATGTTCTGCAGCGTCTCACAGCTCGTTTGGAGAGACCAGTGAGCAGAACATTACAGTAGTCTAACCTACTGGAGACAAACGCATGGATAAGTTTCTCCAAGTCTGATTTAGACAGCAAACTTTAGATTTTTGCTGTTTTTTAGATGGTAAAAGGCTGCAGATGTTATTGATTTGATGTGGCTGTAAAAGTTCAAGTCTGAGTCCATTATTACCCCTAGATTTCTTGCCTGATATGTAGGTTTTAGAGAGAGAGACTGGAGGTGACTGCTGACACTGTCTCTTTGTTTCTGTGGACCAAACACTATGACTTCAGTCTTGTGTGAGTTTAGCTGGAGAAAGTTGTTTTGCATCCAAACAATCATCTGTTGGACGCAGTGGCAGAGTGAGTCCACTGGTGAGACATAGATGTGAGTGTCGTCTGCATAATTGTGGTAGGACACATTATTGCTGCGTATTAACTGGCCTAACAGCAGCTTGTAGAAATTGAACAAAAGGGGGCCCAGGATCGACCCCTGGGGCACCCCAAAGGTCAGAGAGCCTTGTGATCTGAGACACAGTTTCCAATTTCAACAAAATACTTCCAGTCTTCTAGATAGGAAACATAAATATATATATAGCATGTATTGGGGTCGGTTCAGAGAACACAGTAACATGTGTGAAACCAGCTTACATTAAAAAAATAAAAACAAAACAATGTGGAAATTCAAATAAGCAAAAGAACTCCAAACTCAGTAGGCCGTGGCCAGATGCTAACACTCTCTCACACCTTCAGCTGTTACATCATTCTGTTTTCTTCCGTCTCCATAAAACCTTCATGAACAACAATTATGTGCACAAAGAGCCCTCCAAACACGACCCTTTTCACGGCCTATTCTCTCTCCACTTTACTGCGAACAGGGAAAGGCCAAGGTCAAAACCGTAATGCACGCCGCAGTCAGGTTTAATCACAATGAGACGGAGTGAAGAGGATGATCAGACGTGCATGGAGACGCGCTGCATTCAAGACCCGACTCTGGGATACGAAAATGTTGCATACACTTTTATATTTATATTGTGATTTTAATGTATTTCTTATTTTGTAAAAAACTTTGAATTACTTTGTACGAATTGTGCTATACAAATAACCTTGCCTTGACTTGCCTATGTTAGTTTCATGGTTAAAAAATATTAGTGTAGTTCAGTACAGTAACTTATGCCAGAGATTAGAGTGATCAGATTTTCAAAATTGTAAACTGGGACACACCGGGGTTGGGATGGTTGGTATTAGAACTGCTCGATTATGGGAAAAGTCATTATCACGATTATTCAAATGATTATTTTTTAGTTACACAATGCATTTACTCTGCATTTCTCTCTCTCAAAAAACACTTTACAAAACTTTTTACACAAAACATTCAAATTGAAAATAAATATGGGCTACAAATTTGTACCTTAGAGCAGTTTTGCGATGTATAAAACAAAATGAATAACATATACTTTGAACATGAAATAAGGCAAAGAAAAACATAAATGTATCCAACATAAACTATATATCCAGCTGTTCTGCAATCTCTATATTTAAAAAATAAAATAAATATACTTATTTATATAAAAAATATCGCAAAAAAAACTTTGTTAAGCTTTTTAACTTCAACTCGATTATATGAGTTTGGAGATTGTCTGACACACAAATCAAAATCACGATCAAAATTTGATTAATTGCACAGACTTAGTTGGTATAAATAAAATTGTGAAAGAGCCTGGAAGATTGTCATAATCTGAGGGACGTCTGACGCTGCCTTTTTTTTGCTTTATGGTCATTCACAAACATGGATTTCTGCAATTTGGCAAAACAAATGACAATTTATGCTCCTCTTTACTGTTGGCAGGGATCAGATTAGGCAAAAATTGTGATTGTCCGGTTTTAGTCCTGGTTTAGACCTGATGTAGTCCTAGTTTAGTCTCAGTTTAGTCCTGGTTTAGAAGAAATTGGTCAAAAATAGGGACACCTGGTACATTTCTTGTTTAAAACTGGGATAAATCACATATTTCGTATAAATCTGCTGGGACAGGGGACACAGGACTCAAAACTGGGACTGTCTCTATTCACCTGGGGCAGTCCCAGTCTGGTCACCCTACCAGAGATTAAAAAACACTCTAGCCTACCTCATTTTGACTTAAAAATGTGAAAATCAGAACGAGTTCATTTAAAAACATTTGCAGTGATTCAAACTTAATCCTCACTTTCCTAACACATTATAAACATTCTAATTATTCACTGTTTTCAGAGGCCAGAGAGGAGGTTTGCCATCACAGTAATGCTAAAAACAACTAGCATGCTAACAGCGCACTAGCATTACTTTCTTGTTCGCAGATAAACCTACTTGTAGCTGTCCTAAGATTTTATTCAAAGTACTTAAGGACACATTTCAAATAGGTGAGTGTGTTTTTGGTACACACATATTCCCAATACCACAACAATTATTAAAGGTCCATTATGTAACTGGTTTGGTCTCCATGGAGATGTTACTGCTTTTTGGCATTAAAGGTCCTATATTACACAAAATTGACTCTTGTGAGCTTTAAGTCATGTTACAATGCTGTTACCTCGTCACAAACAGACCTGGAGTTGTGTTTTGTTTCATTCACAGATGTTTGAGGAACCCACCTTGTGATGTCATGGAGATGTAAACACTTTTAAGCTTTAATTTTATGTTGTTGTTTTTTTTTAATTTGATTTACTTTTACTGTTTTTATTGTTTTAGGACTGGTATGATCAAATTTTAGCAGTTTACCTCTCTGTTGTCTTCATTTTATGATCTCTGTGCAGCACTTTGGAAACTACTTTGTTTGTAAAATGTGCTGTAGAAATGAAGTGGAATATATACAATATGGAGAAAGTGACAGCATCAGTTAGGCTGGAGAAAGACAAATTTGAAAATTTATGCAGGGGATGGTTGAATTGTATTAGACAAACACGGTCTGACTTTGTACAGAATCTGAAAATTAGTCTGTTTTGAAATATGTCTTTGGTGTAATGTATAGTAATGTATATAATAATATCTCAAAGCACACCCTCGTTCTACGCTACAACGTTAATTCTAGTTTATTTAATTCTATTTAAAAAAAAAAAAAAAAAAAGGATGTAGGTAAATGTCAAATGTAGGTGAATGTATCAGAGTGTATGTCTGTAAATGTGGGAATGTATGTATATATGTATAAATATATATGTGTGTATGTATATGTATTTACTTATATGTGAGAATATGCATATACTTATGGTACGGGTACGAGGATATTATTATCGAAAAAAATCCTGTAAGACTATTTTTCTATTTGTGAAATAAAAAATAAAATTTTGATGAAAAAAAAAAAAAAAGAAATGAAGTGGATTTGGAGTTTATTTTGGATTTAGTTCATTAGAGATTGGCAGTTCCAGGACTAAAACGATCCTAATGATTCTAATGAAATTTACATGGGGTTTAAAAACAAAAAGGAGCACTTCCCGTATTACCACATGACATCAGAAAGTGGAACAAAGTGGCTTCAGTTCAAGAGAAAAACTCAAAAATATGCAGCATTTGTGTGTTAAACATGTGTGAATAAAATAAAACACAGACATAGGAACATCAGAACATGGGCCCTTTAAACTTGTCCCTCTTTATCTCTGCGGAGACAAGTAGGCGATACCAGCAGACACAGTTACATGTCAGATCTGTGGAGAGCCTGCTCAGTGCTCACAGTAAGAATGGACATTTTTCAAGATAAATTTCAGCAACAAAAATGCCTGATCAAATGAGTCAACGATCGGTTTACTGCCATACTGCGTAGCAATAACATCTCCAAGCAGGTGACAGACCATAAACAAGAAAAATTACATAGTGAAACTTTAAATTACACCGTACTATAAACCAAACCACACCAATACCAGCACATTTAATCTCTCAGCCTCCTATCTGCCCACTCGGCTCCCTCACTCACTTGATGAATATTTGAACAGGTTGTCATTCATTTTTAATCGGGTCAGAGGACGGCGCGCGACGACGGAGGAGGACGCGCGGGGCGGACAGGGCCTTTGTCGTCTACATGAAACGAGCAAGTCTACAGTGACAGCGCCTGATTGGGTTCCACCAGGGGCCATCAGATTAACCTGCAAGGGGTATGTTTGCAGATGAGGAGAGGGTCTGGAGATGAGGAGAGGGTTTAGAGATGAGGAGAGGGTCTGGAGAAGAGGAGAGGGTCTGGGGATGAAGAGAGAAACCTGAGATGAGGAGAAGGTCTAGAGAAGAGAAGAGGGTCTGGAGAAGAGAAGAGAGACTGGAGATTAAGAGAAGGTCTTCAGATGAGGAGAGGGTCTGGAGAAGAGGAGAGGGTCTCCAGATGGGGAGAGGGTCTGGAGAAGAGGAGAGGGTCTCCAGATGGGGAGAGGGTCTGGAGATGAGGGGAAGGTCTGGACATGAGGAGTGAAACCTGAGAAGAGGAGAGGATCTGGACATGAAGAAGAGGTCTCGAGATGAGGAGAAGGTCTGGAGATGAGGAGAGAAATCTGAAAAGAGGAGAGGGTCTGGAGGTGATGAGAGGGTCTGGAGATGAGGAGAGGGTCTGGAGATGAGGAGAGGGTCTAGAGATGAGGAGAAGGTCTGGAGATGAGGAGAGAAATCTGAAAAGAGGAGAGGGTCTGGAGGTGATGAGAGGTCTGGAGAGAGGTCTGGAGAGAGAGGGTCTGGAGATGAGAGAGGGTCTGGAGAGAGGATCTGAGGAGGAGGGGTCTGAGAGAGGAGAGGTCTGGAGATGAGGAGAGAAATCTGAAAAGAGGAGAGGGTCTGGAGGTGATGAGAAGGTCTGGAGATGAGGAGAGAAATCTGAAAAGAGGAGAGGGTCTGGAGATGAGGAGAGGGTCTGGAGATGAGGAGAGGGTCTGGAGAATGAAGAGGCTGGAGAAGAGGAGAGGGTCTGTAGGCGAGGAGAGTGTCTGGAGATGAAGGGTCTGGAGAAGAGAAGAAGGTCTGGAGATGAGGAGAAGGTTTAGAGATGAGGAGAGGGTCTGGAGTCGAGGAGAGGGTCTGGAGAAGACAATAGGTTTTAGAAATGAGGAGAAGGTCTGGAGGTGAGGAGAGAGACTGAGATTAAGAGAAGGTCTTCAGATGAGAAGAGGGTCTGGAGATGAGGAAAGGGTCTGGAGGTGAGGAGAAGGTTTGGACATGAAGAAGAGGTCTGGAGATGAGGAGAGAAACCCTGCGAAGAGGAGAGGATCTGGACATGAAGAAGAGGTCTGGAGATGAGGAGAGAAACCCTGCGAAGAGGAGAGGATCTGGACATGAAGAAGAGGTCTGGAGATGAGAAGGTGTGGAGATGAGGAGAGAAACCTGAGAAGAGGAGAGGGTCTGGAGGTGAGGAGAGGGTCTGGAGATGATCTGGTGATGAGGTGAGGGTCTGGAGATGAGGAGAGAGACTGGCGATGAGGAGAAGGTCTGGAGAAGAGGACAGGGTTTGAAGATGAGGAGAAGGTATGGAGATAACGAGAGCATCTGAAGATGAGGAGAGGGTCTGGAGATGAGATTTTTCAATATTAAAATGAATTGAAATTAATGCTGCAAGTTTTTTTGTTTTGTTTGGGGTTTTTTTACTAGAGAAGTGAAACAGGTTGGATTTGTGCTGCTTTTATGTAATACTGTACACTCCAGTTCAATGAAGTACTAGTTCAGAAATGATAAATGACAAGATCAAATAAAAATCTGGAAGTTATTCACTAGAAAAACTTTAATTACTATGGATATGTAACTGCGCTGTCGGGAATGTTCCACAGTATGACATTAAACAGCTCTGCATTACATTTATTCAATTACAGGTGGTTTTATTTCTCAAAAACACCTCGAAAAACAGGCATTCTGACTGTGAGCGGGGTTGCCTCTCCACAGATCTGACTTGGTCTTGTTTGGTCTCCATGCAGATAGAAAGGTTTAATACCATACTGTGAAAAACTCCATACAAAACAATAACATCTCCATGAAGCATTTGACGGACCCTCCACCAGAAAAGTTACACAATGCAACTTTAAATGGTTTAAAGAAAAAAAGAAACGCCATTTTCATTCATTTATCTACCCAAGGCTGTCCTGGCAGGAATAAATAAAAAATGCAGCTCATTAAAAGATTCTGTGCACCCACCTGAAAGCGATAGAAGGTCCCATCATCTTTGAGTGTGAGGACGTGGTCTGAGATGGGGAAGAAGTATCCCTGAGAGGCGATGAGGGAGCCGATGTGCATGGCCTCAGCTACAACGCAAAAAACAACAACAACAGGATTTAACATTTTTATAACTCTATACTCTGGTACAAATCTGTTATAATGTTGTTTTCTCATCACAAACATATCTGGAGTTGTGTTTTGTTTCATTCACACATGTTTAACACACAAACTCTGCATATTTAGGGGTTCTTCTCTCATATAGAAAGTGCTCCACTGTGTTTTTAAACTCCATCCACCCTCACTAGAATCATTTGGATAATTTCAGCCCTAAACAAAAAGGTAAAAAGTAGCTGTTAACTTGAAAACCACCACTACATAACATCAAAAAGTTGAACAGAGCATTTTTGACACACTGGAAATGTAGATACACTAATAATAAAGGATTACTCAAACACTCGAAGTATGTTTTTGAGGAGATAACGTCATTATAACATGATTTAAAGCTCCAATGTTAATGTTGTGTAATGTGGGACCTTTAAGAATCATTAAGAATCATTTGCATACATGTGAGTGGGTAATTCAGTGTGTATTAGTGCCTCTTCATCCTTTATTAATGTGCTATTCTGCTTAACCGCACTCTGCTGCTAATTAAAATTCGGCAAAATGTTTTAATAACTTTGCAGTTTATGAAGTTTCACAAACAGACTTTAAATAAAAATCGGGTTACCACAGTTGATTAGCCCCCAGCAAGCTTTCAAACTTTTAATATTATTATTTCAGAAAGTCGATGGGAAAAATGGAACTGAAATTTACAATCGGAACCAAAGCTACAGTTGATAAACTGTGCCCTAAAATTATTACAGTATTTTTTGGATTATAAGGCACAATATCAATAATGTTGAATTCTCTCGTCTGTTTTCATACATAAGGTGCTTCGGATTATAAGGTACATTAAGTCAAACGAATGGGCGACATTTGAGACTGATCCCTTAGACCAGGCGTCTATTAGCAGATCGTGGCGTAATTCGCCCGGCGTTTCCTCCCTGTCTTGGTGAATGTGTTTTATGAATGTGAAGGTGGGTGAATAATTTAAGTTTGTTTTTTTTTTTTATTTCCTAAAAGGAGGACTCAAATATACATTGAGTAATAATGTGTTTAATGCAGCTTTGCGCACATTTGTTTATGTTTTACAGCCCCTTAAAGCCACATGTCTAATTTTGCATAGGGTTGTCCCGATCCGATCACGTGACTGTGGACTCAATCCGGACTCGGACGCTATGTTCCAATCAGGTATCGGATTAATAATATACGTATATAACACACAGCGCACAACAGGTATTTATTTATTTTGATTTTTTTTAACTGAAGCGTGGGATTTTCTCAGGGATGTCCATTTCGTGCGACTGTCTGCCCCAATGCCTGTTGTACTAGCGGCGCACTCACGCTGCAACTTTCGGGCCATGCCATGCTCGAGCGCCGTTGCATGGTTTCTGTGGCCCGTGTTCACACCTGCGCGGCCCATGGCGTTGTCACCGTCCCTTATTGGGGTTGGGCCTTGTTGATGTCTTAAACTATAATCTTACTGCAGGTGAATATAGTATTTAACTACATTATGCTGTAAGAAAAATGTGATTGGGACATCCCTAAATTAGCATAAACTATAAGCGCTGAAAAAACAACTTGCTCCTTGTGGTCAGCTTCTGTCGGACTAAAGGACATGACTCAGTGGAATATATGTGTTCTTTCTGTGACAAGCCAACAAGGCGATGGTGGCAGTGTGCGTAGAGTCGAAGCAGAACTATACTTCCCTTTACTCTGTGAGGCTCCTGACTATGGTGGCCCAAATGCTCCGACAATCCATCAGGCGGTGTGGCTTCGTAGCTTACAAAAGTTATACTAAAACATTTTGACAGATTTTTGAGCACCGTGTACAATATAAAATCAGTTCGAGGTCAGTAAGTAGAACCAAAATTAATATATAAGGCGCACCAGATTATAAGGCACAGTGTGATTTTAAGTGCGCCTTATAGTCCCAAAAATACGGTATATGAGATTTAATGACGAAGATCTGAACTGGTTACTCTCTGGTTGGTAGGCGGACACTCAACACCACATTCCAACGTGAACCCTCAAACACGGTTGTCAAAAAGCAGGTATAGTTGGTTCATTAGGTAAGGGGACTGCTTTTAGAACTTTAGATTCTAGTCTTATATATAACTTCGTCAATATATTTTAATCCTAAGGTGCTCTGACAGTTTATGAGTCAGTGAATGAGTGGGCAACTTTACCATAGAAAAACAGAGCACACCCACCAGCTCCTCAAGCCCGGACAGAAACAATGAACCACAGAAGCAAGATTCAAATGTGTAGAAGTATATGTGTTACTTTTCTATTGTGATTATAATTATGATTTATGTTTTAAAGGGCCCATACGACTCTATTTTGGGATCCATGTTATAATATTTCATTATCACAAACAGACCTGGAGTTGTGTTTTGTTTCATTCACACATGTTTAACCCCTGCAAATTAAGGTTGAGTTCTTCTCTAAAACGGAATAAACTGTTCCACCTTGTGATGTCATATGGTAATAGAGGAAGTCCATACACCTTTACTGGAATAATTTGGATCATTTCAGCTCTGGAACTGCCAATCTCTACTGAACTAAATGTAAAAGGCAGCTGTTGACTTGAAAACTTAGGCTACGTTCAGACTGCAGCCTGAAGTGACCCAAATCCGATTTTTTGGCCCCTATGTGACCTGCATCTGATCTTTTAATGACAGTCTGAACGACACAGGTCTGATTTTTTCAAATGTGACCCAGGACACTTGGATATGTGGTCCTGAAACCAATACATATCTGATCTTTTGACATGCGACTTCAGTCTGAACAGCCAAAGCGCATCCATCCGATCTACACGTTATCAACAAGCCACAAACGTCACTATTCTGCGCTGAAGTAGGCGAAAATTGTTAATGAACTCTGTGTCACTGAAGTGAAGCACATCACCACTCACCACTCTTGGCTACGTCTGCGCATCCACACGTTCCTTTCAATGGATGTTGCTGCCGCTGTCCCACAAAACACCACGGCCAAAAACCTCGTCCTTCTCCTTCTCAATCTCCTCCTTAAAACAAGTAAGTTGTTCATGTTCTGGCTCCGGTACGAGAGGAACTTTAAAATCTCCAGGTGCTCAATGCTCGCGTCCATGTTTGGACAACTTCCGTAAACACAGAGCACGCTCGCTGCGGTTGACGTCATCGTGTCTCCAGTGCACATGCAGGACACTTTTGGGCCATTTAATGTTCACACTGGAGATCACATACAAGTCACATTTAATTGGAAATGTGAACGACCTCGCAAAAACATCAGATTTCACAAAAAAATCTGAATTGAGCATTAAGCCCTGCAGTCTGAACGTAGTCTAACGCATCATGACATCACAAGGTGGAGCAGAGCATTTTGAGCTTTGGAGATGTAGACAGACTAATAATAAAGAGTAACTCAAACAGGTGTGAATGAAACAAAACAAAACTCCAACATTATAACATGGCTTAAAGCTCACAAGAGTTAATTTTGTGCAATATAAGACCTTTAAAACTTGGATTCCACTCAAAGTTCACATTTGAAACATGTCCAGAAGCAATAACATTTCTGAATTCTGAACTGCTAAACTAACACCATGGATTTGAGAGCATGTTTTTAGAAGTTTAAACTACAGTGCTGGCAAGTTTTAGACAGAATAAGAAAAGCTATTTTGTTTTCTGAAAGTTTTTTGCAATCAGAAGTAATAGAAAGATGATGGTTGAAAATGTACCTGGATCCTCAATGCCCAACGTTTTCATCAGCCACTGTACGATATCTGCTCCTGGAAAAGACAAAACACAAGTGGTTGGTTAGAATTCCAGTAAGTATGAGATGTGTAGCCCCTCAATTTTGTCTAGAAGTGGTCTAAGGTAGGAAAGGTTTCTGCACACTGCTTTCGAAATCAAAGTAGTTTCAGAAGCAATTTTCAATTTGATGGTACGGGTTTGAGACACTAGGCACCATCAGATTGAAAATGACTAACTCTAAAACCTTTTATAACAATAGAAATTATATTGCATTTAATTTTAACAAATCCAAAAGTAAAATCTGCTTAACTTTTTCCAATAACCATTATATTATCTAACCACACATTATCTAATCAGTCTGCACGTTAACAATATCCATTTTCTCTGTATGAAGCAAACCCCCACACCAGCACATGGGTGTCCTACGAACAAATTACATAATATTTGCACGTTTCAAAAAAGTATTTGGATCAGTCTCTCGCTGCTTTGATTTAGCCAGTGGCCTGTTATGTGGTGATTTGGCGATCATTCTATCAACAATAAAGGCTCTGAAATGTGAAATGTGAAATGTGGGACAACAGCTGTCCCCACTGACACACATAACAGGACGTCCGGACTAAACTGGGACAGCTGGCAGCCCTACAAAGTTACATAGTTCATCTTTAAATACTGGCCAATAGAAATTTGTACTGAAGTAAATGTATAAAATATATTTACTTGTTGTTTTAATCTACAATAATTTTAGGTTATGAAATGTGTCAAGTGTGTATGGGGCATTTTCAAGTTACCATACCAATGGATTACCGTATTTTCTGGGCTACTGGGCGCGCGAATATACACAAATCCACTCGGGTGTCTCAGCACGACTTCAGTAAACTACAAAGCCGCACCACCCGCAGCGCACGCAAACACACACGGAGCAGACAGCGACCGCGCGGCGAAAAACACCCGCAGCCACACTCATCACTCCATGCGGACGAGGAACGGAACGGAGGAACGAACCGAAAAAGCGAGTGCAATGTGCCACTTTTAGACACAACTGAACAACAGTCACTACACCAACAATCCAGCGGTCCCAGACAGCACCCTCCCTACACGCCACAACTGAACAAAGCCCAGAGTCACCGTGAACGCGCCAAACAAAGACCCACTGACCCATCCAACTGTTGTGTTTCGTTTAAAGTCCGGTGCGGTTTATTTGTGAAAAAAGTTCGAAAATAGACCATTTAATGACAGTGCGTCTTATAATCCAGAGCTCCTAATAGCCCGGAAAATACGGTACTCACTTCTTAGGTTACCAAATCTGAAACCAAGTTGCCAAAAAAAAAGTAAAAAATGGCTCTCTCAGACATGATGCCTCTTCAGACATGGTTAAAACCTAAAAAAAAATCCATTAACACATACTTTTCTCCTTCAAGTCACTACAGTTGCAATGTATGTAATGTGTGGAGTTATGTTTTTTTGCAGCACGAGTAGAAGTTTGCAGATGGCAGGTCCATGACTCAAGAGGACTTCATGGACATTCTGTTCATGGACATTCTGTTATTCAATTACAGGTGGTTTTAGAGCTCAAAAATACCTAGACTGACTGTGAGCGGGGTCGCCTCTCCACAGATCTGACCTGTAACTTGGTCTTGTCTTCATGAAGATAGTGACCCTGATCAGTCCAGACATTTGTTATAAGTTCAAGAAGACATGTTGTGCTTTTGTCTGCTATAGTTATAACCTATGACACTCGAGGATCATTATGTTATACTTTGGACATTTTAAACATCAATATTCATCTAAAACCACTTAATTTCGCATTAGAAAGCTGTGGTGTTCAATGGGAGCTGACATCGGCGTTAAGATCATCACCCCTCTGATGGACAGCTGCAGGTCATAGTAGCAGATTTGTTTTTCATTTGGACCAAAATGACTACATGACGCTGCCGAATCCTACGTGTATCACAGAAAATAACACTGGAGAATGAAGTAAGTACAGAGCAATGAGCGTGAAAACAGGAGCTGAAAAAAGCAATGGCGTCTTGAATACAGAAGAATAAAGACTCAGACATGCATGAATCACTCTAAATACAACTTCAGACGGTAAATGAGATGGAAAAACAAGCTATAAAAAGTTGATTTTTCTTTAAGACTCCTGACATAAACAAATAATTCTTCTCTCCAGTTTTCATGATTCCCCCTGCAACCTTCAGACTGGGGTTGTGTAATACTGGTTGAAGCAGCTCTGTGTATCCATCTAGTGCAGTAATAATGATGGTTATTGATATGGTCTGCTTATGGCCGCATAATGCGTTTTCCATAAGCGCAGACTGAAGGAGGAGGAGGAGAAGAAGGGGGATGTTAATAGGTCTTCTCTCTTTCCAGCATTTGTTTGGAGTGTCTAATGTTCTTCTTTGAAATCTGCTCTCGAGGAAAATTGGTGGTATAGGATAGCTCTGTAACAACATTATAATCCTTAAGACATATTGCAAATAAAACACAGATTTACAGAGTTTTGGAGCTTGATCCTAACTTTAATCATGGTCACTACTTAGAAAATCTTAATCTAAACCTTCTCCTTTAATGAAATAGTTATGTTTTTTGTCCCCATTAGTCCTCACCATGTACACAAACACATATAGTCGAGTAGATTACAACGTTGCATGGCATTTTGTTATGCTGATAGAATCTTCTTCATATGCCGTATTTTCAGGGCTATTAGGAGCTCTGGATTATAAGGCGCGCTGTCATTAAATGGTCTATTTTCGAACTTTTTTCACAAATAAACCGCACCGGACTTTAAACGAAACACAACAGTTGGATGGGTCAGTGGGACTTTGTTTGGCGCGTTCACAGTGACTCTGGGCTTTGTTCAGTTGTGGCGTGTAGGGAGGGTGCTGTCTGGGACCAACGGATTGTCGGCGTCTTGTGTCTAGAAGTGGCACATTGCTCTCTCTTTTTCGGTTCGTTCCTACGTTCCGTTCCTCGTCAGCGTGGAGTGATGAGTGTGGCTGTGCGTGTTTTTTCGCTGTGTGGTCGCTGCGTGTGTGTTTGCGTGCGCTGCAGGTGGTGCGGCTTTGTAGTTTACTGACGTCGTGCTGGGACACCTGAGTGGATTCGTGTATAGGGCGCTCTGGATTGTGGGGCGCGCAGTGGTTTTTTGATGGGGTTAGAGGCTTAAGAGCGCGTCTAATAACCCGGAAAATACGGTATTCTGACAAGGGACTATATGTTGTTATTGGAGGGGCTTCACTTTTAGTTACTGCTTGTCAACATTTCAATCCTATATTTGTCTATTTATCTATCATCAATCAGCATTATTTATTTTACACACACATCAAAAGTGTCTTGCACAAGGACACAAACACAGTACAAAACAGTTGGAGATGGAATTGCGTCACTAACTTTCCACATTGATATTATATACAGGTTTCCCACTCTTTTTCACTGACAAAATTTCAAAATGTTTCCATGACTTTTTCATGACCTAAAGTGGATTTTCCATGACTTTACGGCACCTACATGTGTAGAATTGACCAGACTTTTAGAGCTAAATACACTACCGGTCCAAAGTTTTAGAACACCCTAATTTTTCCAGTTATTTATTACAATTCAAGTCGTGCAAGTTCAATGAAGAGCTTGAAATGGTACAAAGGTAAGAACTGAACAGCCAGAGGTTAAAAAAAGATAAAAGATTACAAAATACAAGTCCATGCTCTGTCAAAACTACCTCAGGAAAAAAAGAACGAGATGATAAACTTGAAAACATGGAGTGTCCAGCACAGTCTCCAGACTTAAACCCCATCGAGCTGGTTTGGGATGAACTGGACAGAAGAGTAAAAGCCAAGCGACCTACAAGTGCCACACATTTATGGGAACTTCTGCAACAGACTTGGGAAGAACTTTCTGAAGAATATTTGATTTCTGTTGTAAAAAGAACGAGCCACGAGTGAGTTCAGCTGTTATATCTGCCAAAGGTGGACACTTTCATCAATCAAAAGTTTAGAATATGTTTTAGAATATGCAAACAGTAAAAAAAAAAAGTAAAGTTTGGCGTTCTAAAACTTTGACAGATAATGTGTGAAATGATAATCCTTTCCACTCACCGTATGGTTTGGGATTATAGTTTTTTAACATTCAAAATACTGTCAGTGCATTTATTGTCGTCTCTTTTAAACAAAAGACACATACGTTTGGAAATAATTTAGCAGAAGGCTGTAGTTGCATGAAAGAGATACTAAAATTCCATGACTTTTCCAAAACTTTCATTGAATTGACAAAATTCCATGACTTTTCTAGGCCTGGAAAATTACGTTTTCAATTTCCATGACTTTTCCATGACCGTGGGAACCCTGTATATAACCTTGTAATGTGTCAGCTACTGCACTCAAGTAATTTCCCTTATGGACCAATAACATTTGTGAAGTCTAAGTTCCAATCATTAAAAATTGGCAGAATAAAACTTGTCTCGCTCATAGACTTACTCAAAACGAATTGAATCTTTTACTCAAGTTAGAGACTGTCACACTGTCCAATATATTACTCAAGTAGAAGTAAAGGTCTAGTGTCAAATCAATACTCGAGTAAATGTATTTTACCACATCTTACCTGTAACGACGCTGGGTATTTTGGTCATGAAACTTTTGACAGTTCGGATGGGCACTCCCTCAGTCTCCTCCTGCATCCTGGTCACGATCTCTTCAATCTGTCCAAAACATAAAAACACAACATTTTAGGACAACGTTGTAAAAATAATCTATCATTGAAAGGCATGTGTTATTATGCGCCAGTGTTAAAAGTACTATAAATAAACTCTCAGACTGCAGATGCCAGTTGCAGTGTACTTCCTGGTACACAGATGCTATTGTGTGCGCCAGAGTGTGGGCAGTGAGGAGTTGGTCGCTCTGGAGACAGCTCACGCAAAACTAACAACTCATACTTACTTAATATAGAAAGGAGAATAAAAAATACCATGATGAGAAACTGCAAAGACGTGCACTGCTGTGTTAAGGCGGCGCTGAAAGTGAATACAGAAAAAAAAACAAAAAATGTATAAAAAATTGAGACAGCAATTTGATTCTTCGGTAGTTTACTTACATAAATTTTTTAAAAATTACCAGAAAAATTATTATTATATTTTTAAATATACAAAACAATTTAAGGTTTATATTAGTTGTATTAATTGTTTAATTTAGATTATAAGGATTTAGACAGAAGAACAGAGAAGTTAGTGAGTCAGTGAGTGAGTTAGCTGCTTTAAACTCACAATACACAACTTTAATCTGTCTTGACATAAGTACATTGTTTCCTAGTACTTTTTTTTTTCCACATAAGTATTTTTTTTGCATGACATCCTGTGCAGTTGTAGTGTTGAGAGCAGTTTGAGTCAGATACACCAGGGATAGTGGTATTTCAATAAAATACAAGACGTCACCTTTACACTGAAATATCTTGCAATGGTGAGTTTGAAAAAAATGAAATAACACATTTCTCTTCTGTGTCAGCAGCTCACACAGCCAGCTCAGCCCTTGTTATCTTGGCCTATGTCAGACAAGACAAACTCCGGCCCAGGGGCCAAATTTGGCCCATAATATAATTATATTTGTAGCCTGCCAGCGACAGATAGACTATAGAAACATTATTTATTTTAAATTTTCTTATTATTTTATATTATGCTTGTTCTGGATTCAGTGTTTAAACAAAACTATTATTAAACATTTATTTTAAATTATTAGAAATGGTTTAGTATTACATATCTCAGAAGAAGAGAAAGCATGCAGATGTTGTTGAAATTTTTCAATAAATATTTCGTTTGGCCCACGACTTAATCTCAGTTTTAAATTTTGGCCCTCTGTGAAGTTGAGTTTGACACCCGGGTCTATGTCATTGGAGATATGACTGTGCTGTCCTCATGACACGTGACTATGTGAAGCTAGACAGTCAGTGAACTAATAAAGAAAACTCTGTACACAAGGTGTGCTTCTCTTGCTTTCATGGAGGTCTCTTATTTAGATTTGGTAACCGAAACATGCAGAAAAAAGAAGGCATATTACTAACTCCACAGTACATTTGGTGCACAAAATACAAGTAGGCTGTTAGAGAATTCTATGATATAAATGTATTTCTTTGATTAAAGTCTCATTAAAAGTGTTACTCATTTATATATGTAATTCTTTCACTAAAGTATTAATCATTTAAAGGGTGAATCATTTAAATATTAATCACGGTGTAATCAACATTGCTTTGGGTCTGTTTTGGTTCAGGAAGTACAGGACATGATACCAGCAGCAGATATGAATGACATGTCAACTGACAGATTAAGCTAATCTACTATGGGCACCAACAATTCTGGGTTTGTCCCATCGTATGTTAAAACTGAAGGCCTTGGGGAACTACTAAATTGTCTATCTTTGGGATATGTAATCAAATGTGAAATGGGAGGGTGGTTCAGTTGACGATTGTTAGTTATAAGATAACATGTGAAATGTATGTCATCAAGTATGCTTATCTGTGACATGATTTTCAATAAAAGTGTGACTTGGAGAGTTGTTGAGCAGAGTCGGTCAGGGAGCTGACAGACAGTGTGCACGACTCTCCTTGCGCAAGTATAAATTTTAACCGTCTCTTTCTGGTGTGTCTTTATTTAATGTAATTTGATGTCTTAGGGTAAATTCCCTGACATTTACTTGGTCCTTCGAGCCGGATTTCCAGGTTCAGCTCGGGGGAGGGGTGATCACCGTGGACTGCAAGTCTGTGCGCACAGCCGAGGTGAGAAATAGCTGCCTCGACTAAGACCACTTTTCCCGTGGCCAGTACACGGAGATCATCCTTCGCTGGTGCTGCCGACGGAATTCGAACGAAGAACACCAGAACGACACGAGTGAGTAGAAAAATCTTCATTCTGTTGAGACTAGGCAAGAGGTCGCGGAGACCCCAGTTATTAGCTTATGCACATGCAATACATGCATCCCAAATTTCAGACTTCCGGTCCTCGCGCAATGCATACTGGGAAGGGTCCTCTGTCAATAAACACATCCCACTGGGAATTCAAACATGGTGGTTTGATGCTCACTTTTTCAAAGATGATCTTTTCAAATCACCATGAACCATATCGCTTTTGTTGTCTGGTTCTGATATTGTCATATTTTAGTTTTGGGATTCGGACATCGTAATTGTGTGGTTGTTGGATGTCCTAACAGCGGAAAATGGCTGAAGAAATGGGCTTCAGAAGTTTGCAAACTCCATAAATGCAAAAGGGAATCAGATCTGAGTGACTGAAAACTTCAGTTTAAACTGTTTCCCTTCCCAACGGAATTGAAAAATAATGAAAAGTGAAAGTGATGGGCAGTACTGCTACACAGGAAGGATGAAAAAGATAACCTTTTGGCTGCTTAAGAAATCATCCCGAGTTTGCAGTGAACATTTTGTGTGTGGAGCGCCATCAAAGCCCTATAGGACTGTAGTTGTGTAGTACTGTAGTGTATTCCCAGCTTGTGTCCTCATGTGTACTCTGTAGTATTTTTAGCTGACAGTAGCACAGAGAAAAAGCCTCCTACACTGGGTCAAAGACTATACCTGCAGCAGACTCACACTCTTCTTAAAGCTGCATTATGTAACTTTTGGGTGGAGAGTCTTTCACCTGGTTGCTGAGATTGTATAAGCTTTGCCTAGAAAGTTTCACAGTATGGCATTAAACTTAAATCTAAATATTACACAGTGCATAGTTAATTATCAATGCAATGTCCAAATTAAAATGCATCCTATTTAAGTGTGAAGTTACAGTTAATATGCACATGTTTGAGATATTATAAAGTTGTTTCATTCACACATGTTTAACACACAAACCTGCATATTTAGTTCTTCTCTCAAACTGAAAAGCTAAAGCTCATAGGAATCAGTTTTGTGTAATACAGCAGTGGCCCCCAACCCCCAGGATGCTACGGCTCCTGGTCTGTGGGTCGTTTGGCTGCACAAAAAATATAACTTAGATCATTTCTGTTTTATTTATTATCTGAGTCTGAACGATGTTTTATTTAGAAAAAGACAGTTCTATGCTTGTCTCGGTCACATGATACATTAACGATAATATTAAACCCACAAGCTGCAAAATGAGTAAAAAACAGACATCTTTGAAAACATTATTATAATTACAAAATACTATAGTTTTTTGTGTCGGTTGTATCATTTTACTTTAGCGTATTTATCTGCTACACCTTTGTGTTTGAAATAAAACCAGTCTGTGGTGCAAAAATGGTTGGGGACCACTGTAATAATGGGCCTTTATTAACCTAGGGTGACCATATTTCCATTTGTGACAACCCGGACATCTTACCAGGGGTGAGGGGTGGGGCTTCGACATTGAGCTACTCTCACCTCGCAACATGTGCACATGGCCTCCCACTTGACCAGGACGGAAAATGGAGAATTTCTTTTACAAGTCATTGTTAAATGCACATTTGCGCTTCGGCATGTTGCAGGACTGTTTGTGTCTGCTCGCTCCTTCTGAGTTACAGAGAGCTACGAGAGACGCTCAATTTAATGGCCCCAATGAACGGTAATGAAAACCCAGACATTTCCATCAATTACAAAAAAAAAAAAAAAAAACCCAGACGCCCAGGACAGGATGCAAAAAACAGACATGTCCTGGGGAAAATGGACGTTTGGTCACCCTACTTTAAACAAGATCCTGTAATTTCTCCATTTCAGGCAAAGACTACAAGACCAATGAAAATCAGTAATAGTGGTAGACAATTCAAGCAGGGCTGCAAGATGAACTGCAATGGACGCAATTAGTAAAATGCAACTTTGGAATTTCCACTGTTTTATTCTGCATAAAAACTGCTATCCCTGAAGTTTAGATGTGCACAAACATGTTCTGAAATGTGATTTCATGACAAGAGTAAGCTCATATTTCAGACTTATTGTCAACTTTTCTGGATGTGTGATGGCATGTTTTTTTTATGTTAGTTGAAGGACAAACAAGCTTCATGTTCATGTCATGGAGTATGAGAATAAATCTGTTATTTTCTAAAATTATGTTAAGGAATATTAGACCATTTGTTGTTGCTAAAGTTAAGTTGTCACAGTACACTTTTATGACTACAGTTGTTGCCTGACCATGTATTGATCACTCTGTTTGCGGTGGACAACAGGTGTGAGGCTCATGTCAGAGTATAAAAACTCTTTGTTCCTGAGCCTGAGTCATTGCATGTTGGCAGTAGAGCCAGAGCTCTTTTTGTGTTTATATTAAACCTTCAGAAAACGCTCTTGTGCTCCTCTCGTCTTTTCTTATACAGAAACCAGAAACTCATGATGTCAACGCGTTTAAAATGTGAACTTTAAAAGGACCCATATTACACTATTTTCTGATCTGGGTTATAATGTTATATGTTATACCGTATTTTCCGGGCTATTAGGCGCTCTGGATTATAAGACGCAGTGTAATTAAATGGTCTATTGACTTTAAACGAAACAACAGTTGGATGGGTCAGTGGGCTTTGTTCAATTGTGGCATGTAGGCAGGGTGCTGTCTGGGATCGCTGGATTGTTGGCGTATTCGCAGTGCACTCGCTTTTTTGGTTCGTTCCTCCGTTCCGTTCCTCTTCGAGTGATGAGTGTGGCTGTGGGTGTGTTTCGCCACGCGGTCGCTGTCTGCTCTGTGCGTGTTTGCGTGCACTGCGGGTGGTGTGACTTTGTAGTTTACTG